CCGTTTTTGCGTCGTCATGGCCAAGGCATTACCTTTCAACATGACAACGCCCGGCCTCATATTGCTCGACTTGTTCAGGATTCTCTTCAACAAAACAACGTGAATCTCATCCCCTGGCCGGCTCGCTTCCCTGATCTCTCACCAATCGAGCACATGTGGGATGAGATGGATCGGCGCCTTCGACGTCAACCACGTGTTCCACAGACACTCCAGGAACTTCGAAACATGCTCCAGCAGATATGGACAGATATCCCACAGGACCTTGTGCGACGCCTGGTCCATTCCATGAGACGAAGATGTGTTGCTTGCATCGCAACCAGAGGTGGACAAACACGCTATTGATTTGTAAATTGACATTTTGGCATGTTCATGTTTTTTATGAAATCACGCATTTTCAGAAGTCAGTATGGCAAATTAAACCATTTGAACACACACAGGAGTCTTTTATCTGTTGCAAACCGAAATTGTTTCAGAATTGGTTAAAAACATAACTTTGCATTATATCTTATTCAATGTCACAGGAACTTTTGTTGTTCAGTATATATTTATATGTATAAAAGCTAGATATTTGCTCATAGCAACACCTGCACCACTGTTTATTCACGCTATGTGGGGCAGCTTGAAATTGAACATTTTGATAGAGAGAACAGGTATTGTAGAGCCCCTGTTCATTGGGCCGACTGTCTTTGGGGTATGACCCTTTTTCTAAGGCGAGTGACATTGTGTATTCAGTATTCAAACTGACCTAATATTAATAAGAAGAGCTGTACTGAAGGTATTAGTCAATCCGCATATAAAGAAAGACCGTTACAAATAATTGCGATGATTAATATTTTTTTTAAAACTTCATATTATATTGATTCTTAAGGATCTCGCTTAATGAGTATGTTTCTATATGTTCTTATAGCAACAGGTCATATACTGATTAGACATTATACAACGTAGTAGTGGGAACATGAAATTATCATGAGAAAGCTCAAGTGTTATTTCTTTCTAAACTGTTCCCGATTAAACAATGGCAATGCATTTAAATGTTGCATTGGTGTCACAATATTCACTCAAGTTTTAGTCAATCGACGGAATACCATACAACCAATTTTCGAGCATCCCCGAACCCAAACGTTGCCGATGTACATGGTATATAGCTTCAATGTAAGGTTCTACGTTATAAAACTCAAAACTCCAGTGTACATACAGCTGGTGTTTGTTATCGTTATGTATGAGCCCCGAAATAACTTCCATTGCTTCTGCCAACTCGGAATATAAATGGGGGGATTGCTAAAGTTAAGATTTGTAACGAAACTAAGTGTGTAATAACTACTTGTAAATCTTGTATACACAACACGTAAATACGTCAGAACAATCAAACCTGGTTCATTTATTATCATAAACTAACGATATTTACACACACATTTAACTTTTTTCATACAGCTCTTTTTGCTTCAGAGTTGCACACATTGAACATATACATTGTGTTGAGAGTTGCACACATTAAACATGTACATTGTGTTGAGAGTTGCACACATTAAATATGTACATTGTGTTGAGAGTTGCACACATTAAACATGGACATTGTGTTGAGCTTTGCGAACATTAAACATGTACATTGTTTTGAGAGGTGCAACACTGAACTGATCATTCTAAACACTGTAGAAACTGTTTACCGTGAGTCATGATATGGATATGCACGGCGTTATCAAATAGCCCAGCAATATATCGACAGGATACGTACACATGTAGATGCACCAGGTCACAGGTTCACATTTTACTCATATGGGAACTAGAGAAAACGTCCGTCCGCGAAAACGGCCCCATGTCAATTAAAGAGAACGGCCGCCGCGTTTGAGAAAACGTCCTTTGTACTCAAAGAAAACGTCCGATATGTCTAGAGAAAATGTCCTCTGGTCATAGAATGAAAAAATACTTTGAGTCTTTAACAATTTATCATATAACAACATAATCATAACATTATCTTTATTCAGAAATATTTTAATCCTTTATTAATTGAGATCTCATCTTGATTATCTCCTTTCATAAAACAACAAGTATTTACACATTGATTGGAAACCATTTTGTAGAGACTCTTTTTTATTAAATCCTATTTTATTTAATCTCTTAAAACAACATTAAAACAACATCAAAGCCCAGTGTACAAATCATTAAGTCTCATATCATTCACTTAATGCTATTTTATCATATTCCAGCAAAAATATACAAGAAATAAAGGTGACCAGAGAATGTTTTTTTCTAAACATATCGGACGTTTTCTCGAAGTACAAAGGACGTTATCTCTAACTCGACGGCCGTTCTCTTTAATTGACCAGCGGCCGTTTTCGCGGGCGGACGTTTTCTCTGGTTCCGACATTGGACATCAAACACAATTTTAGCGTGACAACATAATGCTTCAGTTACTGCACCACACACTCACGAAAGCATTACTTTGTGTTGTTTAATACCTAGAGTAAAACACAAAGATTATTTATCTTACCCCTATACACAGCTTAAAAGACAATATGTGAAATATGTCGTGTGTTATGAGCAACTGAGTATAACAAACTGACCCTGGTATCATGCCGATCAGGGCAAAATATGGACAATTTTGAAAGATGTATTTGCATACGCAAAACATATCATAGTATAGGTAGCTAAGTCAGCTTTGTTTGTTGGCACACGTAACCAATGCATATGCGTATATAATAATCAGCTTTGTAGGAGTCGTGCACTTTATATTGTTATCAACGTTAACTGTGTGGCCTCACTAATCAGGACTTCTCGCCGTACAGGTATGCGGTGTTTTTTAACCAAGTACATGTGCATATATCAACTGTGATAAACCTACCACGCGTTGACGGCGTGATAGTCCCATAACACTCCTAATCATTGCCATAAATTATTCACGAATTATTCGCAACCAATCCGCGGATTATTCGCAAATTTACTGCTGAACCCGATAACAAACTTGTAGCGTAGACTGACAAGGCGAAGGTGGTTTCCGGTTATAAATAAATTCAACAATGAATAACTTGGCATTTTAAAATTCTTACAACTCATTATTTCATGACTGAATTTGTTCTTTCATGGACGGCATTGACAAATAGTACACACATTTTACATGAATAAATTACAATACAATTATAATTTATAAGGAATGTCATATCTACCATGTCTGGAGATGTTTTAAAGTATTTCTAAATATATACCAATAACATAGTGATACCATTTTGATATTCTAACCCCATGGGGGTTTCCAATTAGCCGGTGGTTGTAGTAAGAGTCGACCAAGTGGATGGGGTTCTCAGGCTCGACGGCATGGGCATTTGCTTACAATATCAATCACTGGTTTGCGTGGGAAAGTCTCGATTGGGTACGAGCAGGGGTCATATAGGTGGAATATTGCTTGCTGCAGCGTTAAACAACAAACACGCTTTAATAGTCAACCTTGTGCAATTTGGTGTTAAGAAAAAGGGAATAATTACAAGTTTATCAACTAACGTAATTACATGTAGCTGATTATGAATAGAAACTGATATGAATCAAATAGCTTTGGTATAGTTGGTATACATTTTGTGGTAATAGTTTTTACAGGTTTAACAAGACAGAATGCATGTACGTCGCCCATTTAGATCATTTAAAACACATGATATTTATAACATTAAGTTTTCATAAACAATTTCTATAAGTATTTAATGCTGATCTCTTTACGATAGTGTCCTTTTATGCGAGAGCTTTCTTCTACAAATTTCGATATAATTCGTTGGAATCTTACATATCTGTGTGTTTATGATCTGTTGTATACCAACCGTCATAGAGTTGTGGATGTTTATTGAGGAATCGTTTTGTTTCCAGCAACCTGTATTTTTGTTCAATTATCTCTTGTTAATGTACTACATTTATGTGAAAAGGATGTGACATAAATAGGTGTTACTGTATAGTACCTTAGAGAACCAGATAATCACCCAAATAGTATATTTACAGCAATTAAATCTGTTTTAAATATATTACCACTGGCCTAATGTTGATGTTTATAATCCATCTACACAAATCCACCCGTTAATATGCTAATAAAGCAAAGTTAAACATGATTGTTTATGCACTAGTTATGGAAGTGGATTGTCTCTTTATGTGTCAGTGATATCTGGTGAATATTAAATTAATACCACAGAGCAAGGCCTGACAAAGTTATATTTATAGATAGTTTTTTTGTAAATAAGTTAAAGCTATCATTTGGTACACATGTCAAAAATCAGTTAAGTTAACACAGGCTGTAATTGTGTATTTTTTACATGATCCACGGAGACCATGAAAAATATGTATGAACGTTACTTACGTTTTGTATGTCATTGCTAGAGCAGTAGCTATCTTGGTCTGTTACAATCAAATTTGTAAATATTGCAAATAGACTAAAGTTTAAAAGTTACGTGAAATTTTTTTTTGAAATAGGTGATTAGTTAATAACTTTTTGAATGAGTGAGTTACCATGTAACGTCACATCGGCAGTATCCCAGCCATATTAATATTTTTTTAACTCTTGGTATATTGCACAAATGGATAATACACGGAATGTTGTTTTGGAAGCTCATTTTATAGTTCAAATAAATAGATCGCAGCCCAGTGAACCGTTTCGTGAATGTAAACAAACGCACTAGTTTTGTACATTTGAATCTGTCATCCAACATAGCTCTACAGGTAACAGCATTTATATTTATAACACATTTCTGTAATGGAACTGACAATCCACATTTTCCCACAGTTTTTTTTATACAAACGCATATTGTCAAAATTAATTTATAATACTTTTGGATGATATCGATGGAAGTACCCCTGTACTGACGCGCATCTGATTGGCTTGTGCCGTTTCGACGCATGGCGACCTTCGAGGGAGGGAGGATACTTCTTGTAGGTTACGGAAAGCCGTGAGTGGTGACGAGTGCACACTGCACACTGCACAACACAGTGCTATGAAGTGTGCTGCTCTCGACTGCGCACAAGTCACATGATCAAACATTGTCACATGATCACAATCTATAAAGTCTAAACAAATGTGGGCGTTCGACACATCTTGAGATACGTTGACAAACATGCATCTTTCAGTAATTTTGCTATTATGTGCATGCTGCACTGTTTGGTCAGCGAGCGTAAGTCGCCCAAACATTATTTTCATCCTCGCTGACGATTACGGATTCCATGATGTCGGGTATCACAACTCGGAAATAAAAACTCCAAACCTTGACAAGCTGGCTGCAGCCGGGGTGAAGCTAGAAAACTATTATGTCCAGCCAATCTGCAGCCCCACACGGAGCCAGTTCATGTCAGGGAGGTACCAGGTTGGTCAGTTATTTTCCTTACCCGTTACAGTTATATACGTACAGAGATTATCAAGCCATGTCAAGCCCCATATCAACCGATACACCTCTATCTGAACGAGGCTGCAAGGCCGAGGTCAGGTATGAATCAGGGGATGATACGGGGCATGACATTATTATAATATTTTGGTCACTTCATACTGACCGAACTGTCATACACATCTTGCCGTGTAGAGATCAAGAAGTTCTCCCGTCGATTTCCAAAACGTCCCGCTTCCCGCCTTCCATCATCATCCATCTTCTAATCATTTTCACCTCTGAATCAGTTTTCCTTTTCTTGTTCGCGTTATTCATGTTGTACATATGGTTCAGGTCCTAGCGATTTTCTTCATGTTCTGATGGAGAATCCAGTTCCATTACTCTTAATATAAGGACAGGTCTTCGTTCATCTGACATCGTAGATGAAATGAGTCGCCTATAACAACATGATACGAGTCGCCGAAAACAACAGGAATCGAAAAAATGACATCTTTTATTAAGACGTGATTAGCTTTCCATGGCGTTGCGTTCAAAACTCCGAGGATTTATATGGCTTTAACTCTGTGTGGATACCATTTGTATCATCCACCAGTATGAAAAAGCATTTTGCATTTTGTGTGGGTGTACACATGCACACAAGTTTTATGAAATACCCAGGCCATGTCAGTATTTAGCATTTCCTCAAACAAATGGATTTTGTTTATATCAGAACAGAAATATCAGATAGATCTTACGTATGTGCTTATGCATAGTAAGTTAGCTTCAATAATTCCAACAAGCACCAGTTTTGTGAACAATGGATATTATGTGCGTCTAATCTCAATTTTAATGTTCATATAATCTGCCGGGAAAAACAAAGTATACACCCATGTTTGATGGTGAAATAGTAGTAGTTATTATATAGTGGTGTATTTGATACGGGTTTCATGGTTGTGTTTGGACGTTAAGTTTGCACTGTTTCGGTGACTGTGTTCAGCCTAGTAACATTTTGATGACGTTAGGAATGTTGGGATAAAATCCATATTTCAAGTGTATTTCTTTTTCCCAGCAGTTTCTGTGCACGAGGTAAAAAACTGTGATGACTTTTGTTAGTTTTGATTTCAGATTCACACTGGTTTACAACATGGCATCATCTGGGCCTCTCAGCCTTTCGGCCTGCCATTGGGTAGCGCCACAATAGCAGACAGAATCAAAGCAGCAGGTTACTCAACATATGCTGTTGGCAAATGGCATCTAGGTTTCTTCAAGAACGCATACCTCCCTAACAACAGGGGATTCAACTCATTCTATGGTAAGGAAAGAAGTATACTTTAGGTATGGCTAGTGATAAACAATGATACCATCTGAAATGAGGAAAAACTGTTAGGGTTTACTTGATTACCCCAAATCATCTTGTAGTGAATTTTATTGAAATAAATGCATGCAAAAGATGTTCAAAGTATCATATTTTCAATGACACAAAACAAATTCATATGAGTTGCAAAATTTAGTTGAAAGCTCATCAGAAAAACAAGAAGTTGTAGTCAGGCCTTATCATGATGTGACCAAGAAAATATATAAAGCATAAATATTTAACAGTATCATTTCATAGACCGTAAAAACAATTTGTGATACGATATGATGGTATTCTCAAGGGAAGATTTTCAGCCCCGAGTCTGTCAAAAGTGTAATGGACCCGTGAAGATCCGGGGTAGAATAGGTCTTCAGCAACCCATGCTTGCCGTAAAAGGCGACTAAGCTTGTCGTAAAAGGCGACTAACGGGATCGGGTGGTCAGGCTCGCTGACGTGGTTGATGCATGTCATCGATCCCAATTGCGTGATGTCAATCACTGGATTGTCTGGTCCAGACTCGATTATTCAAAGACCGCCGTCATATAGCTGAGTGCGGCGTTGAACAAACAAAACAAAAAAAACAAACAAACGAAAGTGTTATGATCCCCCAAATCCACAGACAAATCAAATCAGGGATCCAGATAACTTCGAGTAAATACTCAATGGCTCGAAAGGTTTCATTCATATTGGGTATTGATGGTTTTCGTTGGGTATTCAATACATTTTACTCCCTTAGGCGCCCAGGCCATCGGGTATTTATACCAAAGAGTAGACATTGACACTTTTTAATCATTCTGCTGAAATACCGTTTCAGTGACTTTAAATTTGTAATCTTGTCGTGTGGTGTCCCATATATATATATATATATATATATATATATATATATATATATATATATATATATATATATAATTTTGTCAGGTGAATGATCAAAATCAGAGTCCTGGTATGTGTAATATGCACACTTTTCATATAAAAACAGATTGTTGATAAAATGCTCTCGTCATGTCGTTATCAAGCATATGATATAATGTTATTATACATTTCTAACTCAAGCATGATATATACTGAGTCAGTGAGCATATATGCTTATCGATGATATGAGGCAATTTGCATGTGTGATAGAGCCAACATAGGTTATATCACAGGGGGTGTAACAACCAGACTCGTATCACATCATCATGTGGCTTGTCGATGTATTTTAAATGGGAGATCGATATTAGCCCAGAAATTGGAGCTACGTCCCTTAATGTCATGTCTGTTTGGCTAGTTTTTCCTTGACAATGTCTTTCAAACAAGGTGAAAATGTATTTTATTCACTTGCACATAGAAACATTTTAAATTTTGATGTTATGGAATATGATATGGTTCTCATATGAAAGTTTTTATATCATACCCCATATCAACCTTCGATCACCCCCCCCCCCCCCCCCCATTTCAACCCTCGACCCCCATATCATCCCTCGTCCCCCATATCATCCCTCGACCCCCATTTCAACCCTCGTCCCCCATATCATCACTCGACCCCCATTTCAACCCTCGTCCCCATATTATCCCTCGACATCCATATCAACCCTCGTCCCCCATATCAACCCTCGACCCCCATTTCAACCCTCGACTCTCATATCAACCCTCGTCCCCCGTATCAACCCTGGACCCCCCATATCAACCCTCGTCCCCCATATCAACCCTCGTCCCCCATATCAACCCTCGTCCCCCATATCAACCCTCGACCCCCATTTCAACCCTCGTCCCCCATATCATCCCTCGACCACTATTTCAACCCTCGTCCCCATATCATCCCTCGACCCCCATATCAACCCTCGTCCCCCATATCAACCCTCGACCCCCATTTCAACCCTCGACTCTCATATCAACCCTCGTCCCCCATATCAACCCTCGACCTCTATATCAACCCTCGACTCTCATATCAACCCTCGATTCCCTTATCAACCCGCGACCCCCATATCATCACTCGACCCCCACAACAAACCTCGACCCCCATATCAAACCTTGACCCCTATATCAATACTCGGCCCCGTATGTAAGGCCTGGCCTTGAGCTCTTGGGATGATGTAGGTGTAAGACCAAGAACCCCAAGTTCTGACTTCTCTCACAAAGACGGAATTTAGGGTCCTGTGCCAACTTATAAACCGACGTCCTCTCAGACCGATACGCGTATCAATCAACTTTGTATTTATTTGATACCTATACCCCTGTTTGAAAATGGGCTCGTCTAACAATCTTTCGTGGCGCTCCCGGGACCAGTCAGGGCTCAAACACGGTTCATTGACACGGGATTTGGCGAGAAACGAGGAGAAACGAGCACAAAGGAGTACCGATCATCAATTTCGTTACCGTAGTTAATGTTTAATTAATGCATGTTTAGTTTGAATGTTTAAAATGTACATATGTTGTCTGTAAAATAATCAATTGATATCATGAGCATCGATCCACGCAATTGGGATCGATGACATGCATCACCAAGTCAGAGAGCCTGACCACCCGATCCCGTTACTCGCCTTTTACAAGCATAGTCGCCTTTTACGGCAAGCATGGGTTGCTGAAGACCTATTCTAACCCGGATCTTCAAGGGTCCATTACACTTTTGACAGACTCGGGACTGAAAATCTTCCCTTGAGAATACCATCATATCGTATCACAAATTGTTTTTACGGTCTATGATCATGAAATGATACTGTTCAATATAAGCGAGCCTGACCACCGGATCCCGTTAGTTGGCTCTTACGACAAGTAAAGGCGACTGTGCTTGTCGATGCTCAAGATATTTAATGTTAAAAGTATATATTCAATTTTGACTTTTCAAATATTTTTTTCCATTACTTGCAGGTTATCTGACTGGTAGTGAGGACTACTACACACACCACCGCTGTGACAACCACCAAACCGATTACCATTTGTGTGGCACTGACCTTCGTGATAATCTAAAGCCAGTTCTCAACGAAAGTGGTCGCTATTCAACACAACTGTTTACAGAGAAGGCTGTCGATGTGATCAAGAATCATGATAAGTCAAAAGTAGGTGCAAGTTCCACCAGGATCGTTTCAGTTCTCTTCGAGTTTCTTGTCATTAGTTAACGTATATCCTGAAATTAATGTGATAGTGTCCTTGTTTCTATCAGTTGGACCGTGTGGTGACTTTCTTGTCTGCCAGTGTGATTGTAGTCGTTTTCTTTTCGACTGATCATGCTTGATATTTTGTTTACAGCCATTCTTCCTGTACCTGGCCTATCAATCAACGCACGCCCCCCTTCAGGTTCCCGGCAAATACTTGAGCCAATACAGCCATATCCAGGACACGCAGAGACGCACTTATGCTGGTAATATAATCAGGAATAGTAACATTTTACCTTTAATAAAAAGTGCAGGGTTTAAAATTCCTGTATAAGAGTGACAATTGTATGAATAAAATAAGTTTTAAATGTATATAATATAAATAATCAACAGATGGTAATCGACTGTTCATAATTGGCACACATCATTATCATTGAGTCAGGGTCCCTTTGGCACCTTTGCTAGGTGAAGGTCATCTCTTCTCACATCTTCCCGAGGCAAGAGAGATAACTGACTATAAAAGTCCAGTTTCCACCCTTGCCGAACTAGGCTGGTATTATTGAGTTTCATTTTTGCCGGACTAACGATTCTATGCATAGTCCAATCAAAATCGTGCACCGAAATCGAAATCCGGTTCGTAAAGTGTCATGCAGATTTCGGTCGACTGCAGGATTTGCAAAGCATGTGCACCGCTAACTCGTTGTCAACAGATATTTTCTATATCTTTTCATGTTTTTAATCAAGGTGCTCACGTGATTTGATGCACTTCGCGATGTAAGACTCGTTTTATCACAATATAGATCTTGATTATCGATCAGATCGTCTTGACTGGGCGCCACCATTTTGTTTGAAGCAACTGCAAGTGATACGAGAGGTATGATTGGTCAATAGGAGAGGCATAGAAAGGACATAACTCGTAATAGCCACTGGTGGCGCTACGATCGAGCCCAGGAATTCCAGCCTAGTTCGGCAAGGGTGGAAACTGGACTTTTAAAGTCAGTTAGCCCTCTTGCCTCGGGAAGATGCTCTTCTCAATATCTTGTATGGCCACAATTAGAGTCAAAAGCTGACCCATGGAAGCAATCAGATCTGATAACGGTCCAACAATCTTCTAATGGTGCTTGGTGCTACATGGAAAAATCTGGCTACAGCTGCAGATGATTCTCCTGTTTACACTCGGGCGATGGCGTTATTGTGTTTGGCTTCTGTCAGTCATGGCATGTTTCGCTGTTCACTTGCTATAAGATTGCGATGGCATGCAAATGAATACCCAACGTGTTTATAGCTCAACAAGTGATGTTGCACGTGCTTGTCATGTTGGTGTGTTTCGGCGCCAGGCTCTCACGTGGTTGAGTTTTTGCCACTTTCCCCATCTTTCAACAAATTTCTGCAGTACCTCTTTTTTGCCACACAAATCAATCCTAATCCATGCAGAAATCACCAGTCATTATTGGTATTAATTTTGTATGGGAGTCGGCAACACGCTGTCAGATATGTGTGTTTGTGTTTCTTTTCGCGCAGAGTACATTTGCTCTTCCTATACTGAACCGCAAAAGAAACGTCACCCCAAGAAACGTTGCATGAAAAGTTGTCATTTAAATATCTGGGTAATTTTTGTGAACGTTTCTAAGATTTAAGATTACATTGTCCGGAAAAATGAAATTTGATGATGAAAAAAGCAGATGACAATAAAACCGATCGCCCAAACGCATCACGGTAACGGCCATGGTAACCCGAAATGCACATGCCTTGTCCCATTTCTTGCCCTAGTAAAATCCACCCAGATTTAACATTCATTCGTTATTGATTTGCTACCACATGCCAAGATTGACAAGAAATCACAAAACCAAGCCCTTGGACGCTTGCAAGCTTGACAAACCGCCCGGCAAGTAGCCAATGCATTTCCACGTAAGGACCAAATACAGGCTCCAACAACGGTACTAGACCACCAACACTACAGATGACCGACCACGAAGTGGAAGACCAAGGGTCACCACCCGACGTCAGGATCGTCAGATTGTATCTCAACAGCAGATGGCAGAGAGTCTGGCGACGTCGCGGGGAACGTTATTCGGATGCTTGTGTTGTTGAGAGGGACTCGTGGGGTGGTCCGAGCATCATGGTGTGGGGTGAAATTGGTCTTGCACAGAGGGTCGGCCCTGAATTGGTCTTGCACAGAGGGTCGGCCCTGTGGTCGTCAAGAACATCGGTCCAGGGAGAGGCAATGGTGTCACAGCAGCTCGGTACATTGATCAAGTCTTGAGACCACACGCCATGCCTCATTTGGCACGTCGTCGCACGTCGAGTTTCAGCATGATAACGGCCGTACCCACACTGCGAGAGCAACAAGAGACTTCCACCAGCAGAATGGCATCAGAACCATGCAGTGGCCTGCCCTCAGTCCCGATTTAAATCCCATTGAGCACTTGTGGGACGAGATTCAAAGACGGCTGGATGACGTCCGACCAAGTCCGACAACTGCAGCGGAACTGCGTCAGGCGTTCCTCAGAGTGTGGGCTCAAGTGCCTTCATCAACCGCCTCATCCATTCCATGTATCGACGTTGCACGACAGTCATCAATGCACATGGCGGACACACGAGATACTGACTTGTGATGCCATTTTCTCAGAGACTAGTGTTGTGTTTCACTTAAAGAACATTTGACACTTTAATTTCAACCTTGATGATCAGTTTTTCCAAGATTCATCTTTTAATATATCTCAAAGTATTTTTACAGTGTTTGGACAAATAAGGTTTCTTATATATCTATCCATGGTGTCGTTTCTTTTGCGGTTCAGTATATTTTCGTCTGAAAACATAGTGGAAACCTGTGTAGTGTTCCGGTCAGGAACATACACCTTTCTGTTTTGTGACCAACAAGCTCAAATCGTCTCTACCATCTTTTCGCCCAGTGTGACAGGACAATCGCTGTAGCAATCCCTTACCATACTAACATTTTATATTCTCGATACGCTTTTTACCTTACCTTCTAATTGCATCCCCCCTTGCCTTTGGTGACGTTATTTTTGTTTTTTCGCTGATATGTTTTGTAAGATCATTGTGCTTGTTGCAACATGCGCATCTTGTCATTGGACCCTCACCTGGATTGTACTGTGTGTTCCTCCAGAACATGCACGCAAGATGTAAGATGCCCACAATGTCAACACCTTGGCACAGATGACTTCAAGGCCTACCTTTTCGCCCCTGCCAGACGAGGAAAATATCAGTAATGTTCATCCTCCTCCACAGACGTTTTACTGACCTTTCATTCACCCCCATGCCTTCAGACGGTGACTGTAAGGACAAAGGGTCGTCCAAAGCCAAGGCTGCGCTCAACCAGGATGAAGACAAAGCGTTTGTGTCAGATCAGGTTGTGCTTCTCTCTAAGATGGATGGTTTGTTGTTAGACGCCGCACTCAGCAATATTCCAGCTATATGACGGCGGTCTGTAAATAATCGAGTCTGGACCAGACAATCCAGTGATTAATATCATGAGTATCGATCCATGCAATTTGGATCGATGACATGCATCAACCAAGTCAGCGAGCCTGACCACCCGATCCCGTTAGTCGCCTTTTACGACAAGCATAGTCGCCTTTTACGGCAAGCATGGGTTGCTGAAGACCTATTCTACCCCGGAACTTCACTTCTATCTAAGGAACCAGAGTGTAATGTGCGCCCCGTCCCTCATCAACGCAAGCTGCGCTTAGCAATCATGTTTCGGATCCCGTGAAGACAAATGCTGCATCTCCCTTGAAGGCTTCTGCGCAAACTACGCACCCTCACAAGAAGACGAAGCAGAAGAACGTGCAGGCTGCACACTAGTCCTTAAGTTCTCTTGGTGATGTATCGGCTTCTGACTCTCCATTAACGCAGGATAAATCCCACTAGGAGAAGTGCATATCCCACAGGGACTCCAGTTCTAGTCATCTTCCAAGAAGTTGAAGTTGCACACCAGTTGGTTTGAAATAACTTCCCAATAACAGCAACACATATTCAGAATGACTATCTCTCCACCCCGACCTTCAACTTCACCCACTTCCATTACTCATCACTGTTCATGTCTGCCAAAATAGTTGTACACGGTGACAATGTTATTAACAAATTGCATGAATCCAGATGACAAGTTCAACCCTGATCTGTATTAACCTGGTGATTTATTGGTGGGAATGAGCCTGCTGGCACAGCCTCATTGCTAACAGGACCAGCCTAAAGTATGGCTGAACAGCGCCGATTTTAGCTGAACCCGAGTCGGCATTGTACAATATGGTAGTCTGAGACTTCTCATCCTTGTGACCGATGATTGTGTGACCCTGACACGGTGGTTAGTGTGTGTTATACTTAGATCTGATTTGAATGAGATTGATGACAGAGAATGTTGAGAATGAGATTTTGATTCCTATTTTCAACTTCCAGGGATGACCTCATGTATGGATGAGGGGATCGGGAACGTCACAGCAGCTCTCACTGCTACTGGCCAGTTGGATAACACTCTCATTGTATTTTCCACCGGTAAGTAATGTTTCATTTGAGTAAATAAATCAGACAGTCAGTCAGCTTATTGTTTATGTGTCCAAAGTGGATGAAAGATGGACGTTGTGACATATTAAGACCATTGGACATTTTAGTAAGTTCATAGTTCAGATATGATTCATGGTGTAATGATAATAATACATGTTGCAGCATCAGGCAAGAAAAAAACACTTTTTCATGCAATTTGGGTGAGTGGCAAATATTACCGGTAAGGCAGGACAAGCATACCCTTTTTACAAACACCTGGTGTCATTATTGATTTTCAGTGTCCCAGTCATATAGTTTTTATCGCAAATTTCCCTTCCACTGGAATCTGTTTTTGGCGGACAATCAAGACTTGTCATTCTCTGGCATTGACGTTATTTACTAGCATAAAAAAGTAACTGTGCTTCATGTATCAGTGGGGTAAATGTTTTGGTCTTGAAAAAACATCATATTTAGTCATCGGTTGATGTTTTATCAAAACAAATACTTATTTTTTTTCAGACAATGGGGGTCAGGTTCATGAAGGAGCAAACAACTGGCCACTGAGGGGAATGAAGGCAACATTATGGGAAGGAGGGTCCCGTGCTGTCGGGTTTGTGTATGGAAAGATGCTGAAACATAAAGGAACTGTCAATAATGAGCTGATCCATGTCACTGATTGGTTCCCTACATTGGTGGGTGTGGCTGGTGGGACCACCCATGGAACAAAGCCTCTGGATGGATATGACCAATGGACGACCATCAGGTATGCAAGTGTTGTCATCATGGAGTAAATCAATGATGTCAATTGAGTATAACGTACTTGAAGAAATGACAACAATTTGAATGTTGAGAAGGGCCATGTTAGCAGTAATTTGTAGTCTCATTAATGTTTCAATCAGGAGTACTTAGAAGGACTTCTCCTTTCAATATTTTGCCATTCTGGGCATTTAAACCAGTGGTGACTCAAGGTGACTGGCACTGTCATGATGCTCTGTACAAGTTCTGATTTTTGCATGTTTATAATCTCTTGCTGAAACCATTTAATTTTCCTGTAGCCTCACACGTTGTACAGTACAAAATACAACCTACGGTGTCACTTAACAAATTGCATTCTCACGCACATGTCGCAGCCATTGGAATACGTTCAGCCAGTCATTTTGAAACTTTCTCGTTCTTGACTTTGCAAGGGGTTGACCTCTCCTCATTGGATGTTTTATCATCACTAATTGTGTCTTCACCCAAAACAACTGAATCTCGTTCTATTTTTTCGCTTTTTGATAGGGGAATGGTTTCAGCTACGATACTAGCATGTGATTCATATGTCAATCTATGATTAGTCTTAGCTAAATAATGACGACTAATTTCCCAATTTCTTGCTTTAACAAACACGCTAAGAAGACGTTCGCTTTTAAGACATTTATTCGAAAATTTTCACCGAGATTTGGCTAAGAATACCATTTTAAGATAATAATGTCATATTTACTGATGTATGACATTATTTGTATTCTTTCTCAAAGATACCCCAAACTTATATTAAGTTGTCGTTACCATATGAATATACTTGTTTGAACGAACTAACTTCTACTTAACATCCTTCTCAGCCTAATCCTCCCCGTCTAATCCTAACTCCTGGACTATTCCACTATATCAGTGGGTAATGTGCCAAAATGTACTGATTTTGGCATGTTGTGATTATGGCGTGTAGTTGTCTTTGGAGACAACCATTGATGGTACCCTCCCCAAATGTAATGTTACAAGATACAAGAAGATTTATTGAACGTCGGTTATTCAGGTTGAAAGACATTTGCTCAAAAAAATTACCAAGGACAAAAACAAGCAAATCATAACAACTGGGATGATACATTAATATACATTTTTAAAAAGGTGAAATTCTATTAAATAGTTTTTAAAAACGTCCTATGCATTATCCTTCAAGGAATGTAGACTGGAGGCTCAGGAGAGTGAGTGAGTGAGTTGGGTTTAACGCCGCTTTCAACAGTATTCCAGTCATTTCACAGCGTGTTAGCTTAATGTTGGAGGAAAGCCCGAAGTAATGCAGGTCTCAGACGTTTACCACTTCGGTGAAACCCACGAGCACAGGTATGGTGCTGACAAACCTACAAACATAGTCGAGGCGAACCGGGATTCGAACCCACAATCATAGGTTTCTGGCGTGCCCAAGGGACGCAACTCTGCACAGCTAATTGCGGGGCCTTAGACGACTGTGCCACCCGTTCCCCCAGGCTCACGAGAGCACTCTCATAAGTTTATGCACATTTTCATGCTCATTTATTTATTTTCACGTTTTGTAGTGCTAGCCTTGGCAAAAAAAATAAAAAAGGGGACAGTAGTTGAAATGTAAGTGAATGAAATATTTGTAGATAACAATCCTACCATCCCGAGTGAGGTAATGATCCATGAATTATCTCTTGAAGAGTATAATTATGTAAAACATGATAATTAGGATAAGGCCTTAAATGGAAACCAATTACACCCTTAATGATATGGAGCTTCTGTGTTGAGATATGTTAGTGTAGATTCCATACCTTTTGAGTTTACGTTGGAAATCCTTTGCTTAAAATATATGTTTTAAATATAGAGGTTTCAAATATTTGACTACAGTAACATATCGCACAATTATAGCCAAACTAACTTGTTCACATGAAGGAGATTATCATGTTAATTTGCCATTCTTCCAGTGAAGGTGGGAAAAGCCCCAGGAAGGAGATCTTACATAACATTGACCCTCTGACTCATCCCATGGGACAAAAGCTGTATAACAACACCTTTGACACACGGATCAGAGCAGCTATACGAGTAGGAAACTGGAAGCTCATCACTGGAAATCCAGGTATGTAGACATCCATTGTTGCTTGCTGTAGTTGGTAACATTTGTTTAATGATCCATGTTCATCTCTCACAGGTTGTGGTTGGTTGGTTTGTTGTTTAACGCCGCACTCAGCAATATTCCAGCTATATGACGGCGGTCTGTAAATAATCGAGTCTGGACCAGACAATCCAGTGATTAATATCATGAGCATCGATCCACGCAATTTGGATCGATGACATCCATCAACCAAGTCAGCGAGCCTGACCACCCGATCCCGTTAGTCGCCTTTTACAACAAGCATGGTCAACTTTTACGGAAAGCATGGGTTGCTGAAGATCTATTCTACCCCGGATCTTCTCGGGTCTCACAGATTGTGGAGATTTTATTGAACACATCTCATTGTCACCTGTTGCTTAGTACACTTACAGACACCTCATTCAGAATGTCAGAAACAGTCCGATAATTTCGCATTCACAAGCATTATATTTTTTTCCTGACCACCTGGAACCTCCATTGAATTTTGGACCATACATTTTGTAAAGGAGCTCAAAACGTGTTAAATGGCTGATGGTCACAGAGCATGGGTTATAAAGAATGCTTAAAAATAACACGTGTACGGCAGCCATTACTATCGCCCCTTTGTCTACGTTTGAAAAATAACTACACTCAGGTGGCCCAATGATCTTAATGGTATGTGTCTATATATAAGCCGACTAGGGCTCGGTGGCCCAGTTGTCAATGTGCACCTCCAGTTATGCCAGGATACACTGGTCATTGGTTCAAATCCCAGATTCTACCGAGTTTTTTATCCTGGGTTTCTCTGCACCATATCCCTGCTCATGACCCGTGTCACTTTTGTGTTTTTTGGCTTTCTTCCAACAACTTTTATAGTTGGCTAAGGTGACAACAAATGGAGTTCTCCATGCTTTTTTGTACCTGTTGATGATTGCAGCTTGGCACCCATAGTAGCTTACATGAGTACGCTTGGATGAGTTGAAATATGGATGACTGGGATCAAAATATACACAGATGTATCAAGGATTCCAAACTAGGTGCCCCTGGCAGACACTTTTTTAAACAATCTTTACTTTCTGGTTATACGACAGCAGCCTGTGATCAACTGAGACTGGACCAGACAATCCAGTGATTGATATTTTGAGCAATGACAACCAAGTCACCGAGAATGACCACCCGATCCATTTAGTTGCTTCTTGTTACCAGCATCGGTTGCTGGGGACCTATTCTCACCCGGAAACCCTAACCAGCTTGCCTGTTCCAGCACTGAGAGAGCTGATGTAATAAAGCAGGTTAAAGCATGACACCCTCGAAGATCCGGGATAGAACTGCTCTTCAGCAACTCATGCTTTTCGTAAGAGGTGACTAATATGATCGGGTGCTCAGACTCGCTGACTTGGCTGAAGGCGATTATGCTTGTCGTGAGAGGCGACTAACGGGTGGTCAGGCTCGCTGACTTGGATGATTCATGTCATCGATCCCAATTGCGTTGATCGATGCTCATGATATCTATCACTGGATTGTCTGTTCCGGACTCAATTATTTACAGACCGCCGTCATATAGCTGGAATATTGATTATTGCGGCATTAAACAACAAACAAAAACACAACATTTTTCAATCCCCAGGTGACGGCAGCTGGACCCCACCTCCACATCTCAATAAGGAGGTTATTGTTGAAAAGGAAGATGCGGCAAAGAATCTATGGCTGTTCGACATAGCACACGACCCAACAGAACACGTGGACTTGTCATCAACAAACCAGGGCGTTGTTAAGAACCTGTTGGCTCGACTTGCCCACTACCAGAGCACAGCTGTCCCCCCTGTCTACCCTCCTGCTGACCCCAAGTCTGACCCCAAACTACACGGAGGGGTGTGGGGGCCGTGGCAGTAACTATATGTTACCCTCCACTCAGCCTTTGGTATGAGCAGGTTGTTCATGTTGTCTCCAACTTGATTTGTCTCTTTCCTGGTATAAACTGTTATTGATCAACTGAAAAAACAGTCGTAAGTAAGGAAGTACCTTTTAGATGTGTTTAGAATGGTACGCTATATAATCGCCGTAGTTAATTCATAATGGATCGTAATGGCGCACGCTTACTAACCTATTAAATGTGTCACACGCAAAATGTTTCTTGTTCTTTGTTTAACTTTTATGACACATCAATTAGGAATGATCGATGCTGATTTTCGTTACCGAGTTGGATGAACACAATACCTGTCATTACGACTTAAGGGCGGGCAACTCTATATTATCGCGGTTTGGCTATATTTTGGTATGATATGTGTGGAAAATATGCTTTACATCACTTCCTGTTTTGGATTATGCATAATCAGTGAGTGAGTGAGTATAGTTTTAAGCCGCTTTTAGCAATATTCCAGCAATATCACGGCGGGGGACACCAGAAATGGGCTTCACACATTGTACCCATGTCGAGAATCGAACCCGGGTCTTCGGCGTGACGAGCGAACGCTTCCACCATTAGGCTAACCGACCGCCCTATTTTTAAATGAGTGAAACACATATGGTTGTGCCAGGTGACATGTGTACTATCTATATCACCAGAGGAACCTCCAGCTTGGCAGTATTCTCAATGATGGTCTCATAATATAGTATTGGTGGTGAATCATACATGCTGGTATTCTGTATTGTTGAAGAAACCAAACGTAAACATTTACTTAATTCACTTCAATGATTCATCCAAACATCATTTATCAATTGCATAGAAGACTGTATGTCGCAAGTGTCCATGACAGACTGGTATGGTACCTTGACATAATCACTGACGCTGTGGCCCAAATGTACTAATTCTCAAACCAGTATACATGTACATGTATCATATCAAAGAGATACAACTCTTGTATTCAAGGGGGCATGGGTGGCCCAGTGGTCTGAAGCTCTGCATTTTGCAGAAACCTGTGATCGTGGGTTCGAATTCCGGTTCGCCGCGATTATTTTTCTAGGTTTGTAAGCACCATATGCTCTTGAGGTTCACCAAATTTGTTAACGTCTGAGACCTTGATCACTTTGGGCTTTCCTCCCACATTACGCTTACACGCCGTGATATAAATGGATCACTGCTCAAAGAAGCGTTAATCCAAACACACTCCTTATATTTATACAAAATAATACTCTTAAATGAAACGTTTTCTTCAACAGAAATACAAAGCTACAAGCACCTATCAAAATTGGGACACTATGAGACACAGAGAACAGCGGTCCTGAATCCTCACTGTGCAGAAAGTTCCAAGCAGAATAGTAGTCGCAAATTCAAGAAGCAAACTTAAGAATTACTGTAAATCTACAGTTATAGCACCAGCTGTTTAGGGGCTAGCATAATTATATATTCTGCCCTACTAGTTGGTTGGTTGGTTTGTTGTTTAACGCCGCACTCAGCAACATTCCAGCTATATGACGGCGGTCTGTAAATAATCGAGTCTGGACCAGACAATCCAGTGATTGACATCATGAATATCGATCCACGCAATTGGATTCGATGACATGCATCAAACCAAGTCAGCGAGCCTTACCACCCGATCCCGTTGGTCGCCTTTTACGACAAGCATAGTCGCCTTTTACGGCAAGCATGGGTTGCTGAAGACCTATTCTACCCCGGATCTTCAAGGGTCGCCCTATTAGTACCAACTGTTGTGAGTAAATTAGTTTTAAATATAAAACTATATTTGAGTCCATATTTATAGATTATTAAATTGTACAAGAAAAGGGAATTGATCCAACTAAAACCTGATTTCAATGTAATTGTTTGTAGGACATTTTGTCTACACGCTCCATATCTTCAATGTGGCCAAATGCATTACACAACAGACTCCCTATCTTGCTTGGTGGGTTCATGCTTTACTTTGACGATGATGTTTGAAATGGGTGAGTTGAGATGGGGTTTATGGTCATGGCGTTCACGATTGTAGCCTTTATACAACGATGTACATTTGTTGTCGCTATGCTGCCAATTCACGCTCATACGCCAACATTTATATCGGCCATCCTAATCTGGCGTCCAATGCTGTATCACATGGTTATCACAGACCCATGGTCTGATTGCAGGGGAACAGGAGGGCATGGTGACTTGTCTTGCAGGGTGACAGATTTCTGTTTCTCCAACTGAAAATGTATTGCACTGTTGTATTGGTACATTTAGGAAATTCATCATTTCCCTTATTTCAACTGATGCTTAAAAAGATTAGCTACATGCATGATGCTTCCTCCCTTACCCAAGATGTGTGTTGAAGTTCTCATATGCTTCTTTACCCAAAGTTAAAAATATAGATTGTCTTGGCTTTGTGAATAAAGATTGTGATTAAGATTATTACAAGGTCATGTTAAACGGTTATAAACTAAGTTGTTGTTATTGGTTTGTTGCACTCAGTACTCAGCAATATTCCAGCTATATGACGGCGTTCTGTAAATAATCGTGATTGATCCAGGCAATTGGGTTACGATGACATCCCGATCCCGTACGACAAGCATAGTCGCATAGAGTCGCACCCTTAAAATTATATATCAAATATATCAACACTCGCTAATAAAGTTTAAAAACTCCTCGGGAAGCCTCGGAACTTTGAACATTTATCGACTCGTGTTGATATATTTGATATCAAAGGAGATGTAGTTGAGATTCAATTTGTCCCACATTGTAAACAGTATTGATGGCAATTACTTACGATTCCCAGGAAGAAAACGCCCAATATCGGCCCTCCAAGCAGGATAATGGTGACCTGTCAAATGGAAGTAAGTGGATAAAGACTTTTGTAGTGGACTCGAAGTGAGCAATTTAGCTCTGCAGTTTGTTTGTTGGTTGTTTTACGCCGCAATATTCCAGCTATATGACGGCGATCCTGTTAGCCGCCTCTAATGGCAAGCATGTGCTGCTGAAGACCTTTTCAAACCCGGATCTTCACGGGGTGCTATGCAGTGTACAGTAGCGCGGCACGAGTTTGTGAAGGGACATACTTTTCATAATTTATGGTTGATTGATGTTTTACCGAATTGATAGGGGCTCCGAAATTCTCTGCGCTGGTTCCCTTTCTTGTCCCAGATCGCCATGAATAAAACTGGAGGATTGTTCAAAGCGGTGTTAACCTCAGCTTACTCACTCAAAATATAAATATATTTGGCAAGGTTTAATGGTTTTCTTTAACTCACTCACTTAGAGTTATGAATATTTTGAAGATAGTTTTTATGTTACATAGCTATAACAGTCCAAATTCCGATCCGGCACTTGACACCTTCGTTACCCTCCTGGCTTCGAGCTCCGATGTGAGACGCTTGTTTACTGGCTCGTTTACAGATGTCGAAACTGCCTGGTACTCGGTGTTCACGAAGTCTCTGGATAGGTTGGCTGAACTCATATAAGAGCTAGACGAGAGCCATTCGAGGGCAATACGACCTGACCTGCGACGTATCTACTTGCCCGGTACGGATGGGATGCCTATCGGAAGACACCGACCTTTCAAGGACACAAGGACAGAGCACGTGCCTCACTCAAGACATCCAACTGTGACAAATCCTGATTGCACTGCCTTGTGTAATTGGGCGTGTTCATCACTGCTGCTGCCATTGTATTACCTTATTTCGACAGTAAACCAAATGTTGGTGTTTTAATACAATTTGTCAATTATGCACTGATCTTGTGTGATTATTTTCTGATTTCAAAATTCAGTTGTGTAAGTGCCAATTCCTGGGTGAACCTTTGGGAATCAAGACGTAACACGTATCAGATCATACCTGCTGCTTTACCAATGAACAATCTCACAAACTTCTTGGTTTTACACTGCTTCAATGCCTGCTTTAGAATATCCACAACTGTGTTTACTGCGAGACGATTAGTGGCGGACAACAAGGTGCTGGAAAGAACCAATATCAGATGAAAAATGAAAAATGACTAATCCGTTATAAAGTATTAGTTATTACAGTGCAGACCGTGAAAATCTTAACAATGAATATTATCGAGATCATTTTCAAAGAAAGTGTCTTTACATAAGCAAAAATGAATATTTGCTTGTACCACAATTTAAGTAGGCTTGTTATCAGAGCTCCTTCAGTCCTACATGTCTAGATATATGTGTTATCAAGTTATCTTGGCGCGTTATAGGAATTGACCAAAGCGCAATAATGTTATCAGCAACATGTACAGTACATGTCATATTTATATCAACTCATTTCTCTTCATAAAAAGTTGACTAACAAAGTAGAATTGGGCTAAAGGTTGAATAAGAGAAAATAGCATAACCAGTGAGCAATTCTGAATCTCAACGACATATATATATCACTACTTGTCAACACAAAACACTTTCCACACCACAACCGATCAGCAAGTATTATTACTTTGTTCCAGTATCTTTGAACGTTAGAGCAGTCTGTGCGTTTTTAAAGACCACATCTGCGATTGAAACTCAAATACAGGGTCAATCCAGCAATCCTATGTCACGTTAAAAACATCCCATTCCTGCATGCGGTCCGTCCATCACTTCTAAATATAAAACGTCAACGTCAGAGAACAACCTGTCTCGATTCCATTAGGTGTAAAAAGCATAATAGCGGTGAACATTATATGAATGGATCACTTAACACCAGCTATGACACAAGGTGTTCGCGAAAAGGTCCTGAGCCAGTTTGTTACTTGTGGGATACACCTTAAGGCCGCGCTGAATATAGAGGCCAGGCACAAACCAGACATGCCTGGCAGATCTTTAACCAAATCCAGCACGACGAAGGCTGAATAAAAAAGAATAATTTTCAATTCTTTGCCCATAAATATGTTTCCTTCATTTAAAAACATGCTGTACTTATGTGCGCAACGTTCTCGATTAACCTGGTTTCTGTTGGTGAGGATGCAAGCTTGGAAGGGATCACGCCCCTTTGCTGCAACGTAGCTGATGGCCACGATACCCATGAAGCACACACAGACCATGTAGACCCCAGCCAGAGGCATGTTACTTGCGACACCCTGAAGGGAAACTGCAGTATTGGTTTGACCTATCTTTTATTCTAAATACTAGTTAGTACACCGAGGTATATTGACGAATACCGTCTACACTTTGATGCCACATAAAATGTTATGTAAGCGTCCATTCATTAGTTATTATTTGTGTTATAATAAGGGTAACGCTATTTTTCAGGGCATTATCATTTGCAGAAGTTCGAGGTCTTCCATTAACTGCCCGACGAAGGAGTTTGCTGTTTAACGTCGTACTCAGCAATAGTCCATCTATATGACGGCGGTCTGTTAATAATCACGTCTGGACCAAGCAATCCAGTGATTAACGCAATTGGGATACGATGAGAGAATATTCACGGGACTGCCGTCACCTAAATCCATGGGACAGACCTCATCAGTCTTGATCGTCGACTCACAGGTGTTTTTAATCGTGAATCTGTTTGGGGGCAGTCGTGTTACCCAGTCTTGGCGTGAAGTATTTACCGTCAGTTCCAACAAGATAACACACGCTATCACGCATCTCGAGTGCTAATAGATTTCTTTAGCTATCGGAACAAGAGAGTCCTTATTGGGATTCGATAGCGAAGATTGACCAGATAGATTCGAGCATGACAAAAACTCATTGCACAGTTAACCAATGCCATTTAACCTCTCAACGTCCCTATGTCGAATGTGGAATATAATCAATAATCAGGTTGGTAATGGTAGCAAACGGATCCAGGGTATTTATCATAATAGATAATATTATACCCTGGATAATCAAGATGGCTAGAAAACCCTCCAAGTTGATTTGTACGTTATCTGAACCAAACCACATGAAGCATAATAAAATCTTCTTGCTTGCCGCTTCCAAACTGACTTCTGTCAGACGAGTGTAAACTCGGCTGGAGAAGGCGAGTGAGTGACATGGTAGGGTTTGTTTGTTTGTTGTTTAACGCCGCATTCAGCAATATTCCAGCTATATGACGGTGGTCTGTAAGTAATCGAGTCTGGACCAGACAATCCAGTGATTGACAGCATGAGCAATTGGGAGACGAAACATGACATGCGATCACAGCCTGGTGCCGTCGTCAAATGCTTCCAATAAGTGTCTGGATGGTTGCCGTCGTAAATAGGCATCAACGACCCTGGCAAAATGAGGTCGTGCGCTGTCGATGAAGTCCGGTCCGATAACACCAGCATATTCCAGCATTATGACGGCGGTCTTTAAGTTATTGAGTTTGGACCAGACAATCCAGTGATTGACATCATGAGCATCGATCTACGCAATTGGGAGACGATGACATGCATGAACCAAGTCAGCGAGCCTGAGCATCCCGTTAGTCGCCTCTTACGACAAGCATGTGTTGCTGAAGACCTATTCTACCCCGGATCTTGACGGGTCATTAAGGCGTCTCATATGACAAGCACAGGTTGCTTGGGAGCTATTCTAGTCAACACGGGAGTGACATTATGGTGAACACGGCAAAAACGACTGGTGACATCACTGATTTTCAGTGGTCCATTCATATTCATATAATCTGCCAAATAGAATCTGTTTTGTCGATATTCTCTTGCATTGAAGTTTCATATATACTTACAATTGAAGTGTATATTATCCCAACCAGTCCTACAATGACTACTGACACCCAGAAGGTTTGGTTTGTTGTTTAACGCCGCACTCAGCAATATTCCAGCTATATGACGGCGGTCTGTAAATAATCGAGTTTGGACCAGACAATCCAGTGATTAACATCATGAGCATCGATCCACGTAATTTGAATAGATGACATGCATCAGCCAAGTCAGCGAGCCTGACCCCCCGATCCCGTTAGTCGCCTCTTATGACAAGCATAGTCACCTATTACGACAAGCATGTGTTGCTGAAGACCTATTCTACCCGGCATCTTCACGGGTCGAACGTCGATTGAAATATGATGGGTACGGGGCACTGTAACACTGCGCTGTGTTGTTTGAGAGGATGGAGCTCTGGTTATTGCTATCAATATTCTTCTTGAAATAAAGAATAAAACTTTTCCTAACCTTTGCCATGTTGACTGACGTATTTGATGTCAATCTTGTGCTCGTTCATGGAAATGGTTTATTCTATGTGTGTAGTTGGAAAGATGAGGTTGTAAGCTACGGTTGATAGAAACACGTGTGTAGGAGGGGAGATGAGGTGTTATTCACACGTGTGTTGAAGGGGAGATGAGGTGTTAGTCGAGCGTGTGTGGGAGGGGAGATGAGGTGTAAGTCACACGTGTGTAGGAGGGGAGATGAGGTGTTAGTCACACGTGTGTGGGAGGGGAGATGAAGTGCTAGTCACACGTGTGTGGGAGGGGAGATGAGGTGTTTGTCACACGTGTGTGGGAGGGGAGATGAGGTGTTAGTCACACGTGTGTGGGAGGGGAGATGGGGTGTTAGTCTCACGTGTGTGTGTTGGGGGGGGGGGGGGGGGGGGGGGGATGAGGTGTTAGGTGAACCTTAGTGGGAGGGGAGATGAGGTGTTAGTCACACGTAGCGCTGTCTGATCTCAAACGGAAGCCATAATCGGCACTGTGTGAACCTGGCCTAAAGCATCAATGACTTGGCCACACGGCGGTCATAAATGGAGTGTGGATATAGATGGGATGTTTTGTTTTGTTTGTTGTCTAACGCCGCACCCAGCAATATGACGACGGTCTATAAATTATCAAGTCTGGACCTGACAATCCAGCGATTGACATCATGAGCATCGACCTATGCAAGTTGGATACCATGACATGTATCAACCAAGTCAGCGAGCCTGAGCATCAGATCCCGTTTGTCGCAAGTATTGGTTGATGAAGACCTATTCTAACCCGGATCTTTACGGGTAGGATAGGATGTGTACAAGTTGGTGTTCTTCATACCATCAGCATGTATTGACCTATAGTTTCTTTGCGTTTATGGTGATTTAAGCGAAAAACCGGAGTGCATACTGTCTAAATCCGCGATGCACGCCGATTATTACGTTCATATCTCCATAAACGCAAAAACAACACTGAAATCAATTCTTATGAATAAATTCGTCAACAATAATAACTTCACAGACTGTTTATTTATTCTTTAACATACAAGAAACTATAGAAAACAATACAACATCTGTTCAGCGCAATAATTCAACACAATCCTCGTCCATTCCAGTATCAGTCAATCAGGAAACTGTAATCCATACGTCAATTAAATGCCACGGGATTAATACGTACTATGATCGATATAATATGACTCTGGCATCTGGCATACTTTTGTAATCGTACTTTGTTATAGTTATAGCGGCGGTACGGTCGACTGGTGGTTAAAGCGTTTGCTGCAGACGCCGAAGACCTGAGTTCGATTCCCCACATCTATGAATCCCATTTCTCCTGTTCCTCGCTCTGGTGTGGCTGGAATGTTACTTCAAGCGGCGTAAAACTCTTCTCACATATTTGTTCTTTTTCATTTGAAGACTATCGTCATACTGTCAGCCTTCTTATACTGCGTATGTAATGTTTTAGATTAACAAAGGTACGTTTAGCTGTCGAACAATAAACAACTGACCTCAGCAGAAAGTGTTTATTTCTTCAATACAACACCACGTGTCTGCCTCTGTGGTATGATCATTGGATCTTATACACATGTTGAACCAATTGTCATATGATTTAAATACATTGTATATTGTATTCATTTATTCACTCATTCATTTGAGTGGGGGAGCCAAGTGGTTTAACCGTTCGTTCGTTCCCCCGAAGATCCGGGTTCGATTCCCCACATGGGTACAATGTGTGAAGCCCATTTCCGGTGCCCCCCACCGTGATATTGCCCTTATATTGCTGAAGTATTGATAAAAGCGGCGTAAAACCGAATCACTATTCACAATTATACATTGCGTACTCATAACAAGGTAGGACAGGTCTTCAGCAACCCATACTTGCCGTAAAAGGCGACTATGCTTGTCGTAAGAGGCGACTAACGGGATTGGGTGGTCAGACTCGCTGACTTGGTTGATGCATGTCATCGATCCCAATTGCGTGGTTTGTCTGGTCAAGATTCGATTATTTACAGACCGCCGTCATATATCTGGAATATTGCTGAGTGCGGCGTTAAAAAACAAACCAAACCAAAACACATATACATATATACATAACTCCCCATTGTTTTCCTGGTTGGTGTATTCCAAAAACAATGTGTTACTCAACCCTTTTAGCGGCATTCCCTTTGAATGACAGTATCTGTCGAAAATATAATTTACATATGGTCGTAACAGTTTAATTTTAACCGGTTGTTGACTTGCACAACATGCCTTTGAGTTTGGTTGCATACATTTCATGTACATGAATTAGTTTTTATTTGGTATAAACGTATGTTTATGTTAGCTTCCAACTAATAGCCGGTTAAAAAGAAAGTACAGACTAATTTTATTGACCAAACAGTTACAAACGTTATCAACATGTAACAATGCTAAAACCAGCCGAAACACTACAAAATGAAGGTTCAAAACACCCGTGTATCATTTTCATGACCATCGCTAAGACCATTGGGTTTTTTCTCTCATTTTGGCCACCATCATGCATGGGTTTATACTTTCTCTCACCATTCTGCAATTTACACCCTCATCATAATCTAATGTGCCATACATGGCCAGCCTTGCTATCGGGTTCTCTTCCTAGCTTTGGTGGCAAGGAAGCAGAGGAATAATGGTTTCTGTCTTGCTGAGTGACGGGTGTCTCTTTCTCCCCCTGAAAATATATTGCACTGATGCAGAAATCATGATGCCTTTGCGAACGAAAATAGACAAAACTTTTAACTTGACGGTTATAATTGTTTTTGTGTCTTCCCTTGTGCCACAATGCATTAAATTTTTATGTTGTCCTTGAATACGAGCCAATCGAAGATGAATGTTATGGGTGCATCATCAGCTACCGACTCCTCAAAAGCATTGCTTTAGAACAATGACCCTTTTTGATGAAAGCACATTGGAAACGGGAAAGAATGTAACGTCAACGCTAGAAAATAACCAGTCTCGATTTTCAGATTCTATTGAGCTTAAAAGGCAAAGTAGCGGTGAAAGTTATATGAATTCATTTGTAACACATATGTAGATCACATGGTACTTACGTGTTGAAAATGTTCATGTCTCTTGACGTTCCAAATTCGTCTCACAATTGGAATCAGCAACCTTTCATCTGTGGTGGGAGGATACAATCGACCTGGAACAGAGTGAGTTAGTCAGTGAGTTTAGTTTTACGCCGCATTTTCATAAATATTACAGCTATATGAGGGCGGGGGATACCCGACATGGGTTTCACACATTTGAACCCATGTGGGGATTCGAACTCGAAGAATGTAGACTTGGTGACTTACACGTGACGAGGCTGATCACCAAACCAACGATGAACGCAGCAAGCCAGCCTGTAAGACCGTAGTATTGGTAGGAGATGTCGTAGAATGGATGTCCGTCGTCGTTCTCGGTGACGATGCTGCAAGAATTATCTGTGTGAGGATATTTCGACAACGCTGTATCAATAATGATGTACGAAACAGAAAACAATTAACAGGTGATCATTTCATTAACGAGTGAATTTAGTATTCACTGTCTTACTAAACCCTAAACAAAACAAGAACGTGCATTATTATCATATCCACGGACTGTGTGACATGACAATTCGCGCGATTATTTTGCATCTAAATGATACGTTGATACAAAGTATTGGGTAAAAGAGTTACTTACTGCCACATTAAAATATATTTTCATTCTATTATAATTATATTCTTCACCATGAGACCTTGATGCGGAGGAAGAACGGGTATGCAGTCTACCTGAACGACACCGTCGTGGATGTCACATTTAGCATGGCTGGCAACGCTGTGCTGATGTTTCCGCCATTGACGTTTGGCGGATAGAGGACGTCACAGGAGTCGCCGGGAGCTGGGGGAAGGGGTACAGGTCTTCGTCCATACAACGCTGCTCCGATAGCCAGCCCCATGTTCACTACGAGCGAGACGACCATTCCTGATAAGGCACCCTGTATAAAGAAATGATATTGTGCCGGATTTAAAACGTTAAAGCCAGAGAATAATCAGTCTTGATTATGTGCACATGCCGAAACAGATTCATTCGGGCGTAAAGTCAAAATAGTTGTGACTCGTGGACGTACGTATCTTGTGACAGGACAATCAGTGTTGCCATATCATCATCTCTACAGAACATGTGACTATCACCGTGCCAAGTTTCATCTTTGTGCCAATCAAATTACATGAAATATGCACATATAATTGAACACAGTATTTCTTTTCAAAGTTAGCCTAAGCGTTTCGTTTTTTGAAGAGTGTATACACTTAACAATTATATCAAATATTTTGGGGGATTTTTGTTTGGTCTTGTTCAAGCCTGGGTACATAATTTTATCAAGATGTCCTCAACAATATTCATGATCTTTAACTGTTTTTGTTTAGTATATAAGCCAGTTAGGCCCCTTTCATGTAAGGTTGAATAAAATATGTTAAAACTAAACTTTAACATTTGACTTTTTTGGTGGCCAGATAAAACTCTTCTCCTTCCTCCTCCTTAATGCCAGTAACTTTCAATACTTAAATGTTTTCTGCTCTAACACGATCATGTCACATTTGTATGATATGATGGATGGAGCAGGACAAAGAAAAGGACAGGATTGCAAAAAGGAAATGAAAACATGATTAAATTGGCAGTTTATTTTATGTTAAAAAACAGGTTAACAGTGTGAGGTCACGCGAACATTAAACCGAGTAACTCCAGTAACGTGTTCACCGAACGACAAAAAAAAATGGGCCTTCGATATGACTCCATTGGCGCCAGATCATGTAAACATTTGTTGTCGCAAATTAATATTATACAAAAAGACATGAACTGTTTTATGGATAACAATTTCGCATTGCCAGTGTAAATCGTGTACTTTACTCGGATGCAAAACACACGTATATGTTACAGTCAATGTGTAAAATCAGTCAATTTGTAACTGTTTGATTGGCATTCGTGAAGTTGGCTAGTAAATAAACAAACATGCACCTTTATGGCTAGCATGTGTTTTCTTATTCAGTCAATTTATAATTTTCCTGATTCACCAACATTCATTTGACAGGTTGACTGGACATTATTAAGAACAAACAAATCACGATAATCTAATCATTCTAGGATTATAAGCCAGGTAAAGGTGATCATTAATGAGGTAACCAGAGACTTCAATATAATCTCACTCTGTGTTGATAGTTATCTCAATCTATCTGATGTTGCAGCAACACACAGAGACAAAAACTACACTACCCGAAGATATACACACCGAGACATCAGGTATCTAACTCTAAATATTGCTGATTTGCAACAAGCAAATCCAAGATAACCTCAAACACTTATTTCTCAGTAAGCGACGTGTCGTTTTTGTTGTTCACTCAGTTGGAAGACAAATATGTCTTTGGATTAGACCGGACTCACTACATAATTTGTAATTAATGTAACGCTATTCAGTGTTGCATGTAAAGGAGGGGATGGCCGAGGGTAGATACCGTCAGAGGTGTGAAGAGAAGTTGGCTTATTCTCTCACATCAGAATGGTTGTCCGAAACTCTGCCCCCTGTACATATTTAACTTATCATGTAATTCCCTTTCGGTAACAATAAAAGTCTTTGTCGCTCGAAATGAAATGGTCTTCTGATGGTTACTTTTCTCTATGTGGCCCTGAAACGATTGTGTCACATTAATCGATCAATGATTTGACTGAGCGAAACAAAGAGTCCAAGACACTTTCATGCTGCCAGGTACACATTGAATCAATAAGGACAGTGATTGTGACAAGTTTGTGAAGATATTACTTACGATCTTATTTGTCCACGGTACAAACGCCCCCAGTGAGAAGACGCCCAGTACCGGCCCACCACAGGCTCCGAGGAAGCCGAGAGTAAGCTGAAATAATGACGTGCCATGCATCAACTAAATAAGCAAGTCTGACCGACTGATCCCTCACAAGCATGGATTTCTGGAGACCAATTCTAACCAGGACCTTCACGGGGGTGATAGCTACTGTGGTGCTCTGAATTTAACCACTTATGACAGGCTTCACTTTACATTGACAGGGGCGGTCGGGTAGCCTAGTGGTTAAAGCGTTCGCTCGTCACGCCGAAGACCCGGGTTCGATTCCCGACATGGGTACAATGTGTGAAGCCCATTTCTGGTGTCCCCCGACGTGATATTGCTGAAATATTGCTAAAAGCGGCGTAAAACCATACTCACTCACTCACTTTACATTGATAACCGTCTATATTGGCCTGCAACATTTCCACGCATATATTTGGCCGTTTTAAATTTGTTTGTTGTTGAACGCCACAGCGAGCAATATAATTCAATCGACAGCCTGGTCGTGTCTGACAAATCTGTGACTGACATTATTACGTTTCTCGCCGTCTGGGTACGATGACTCACAATAAGTCCAGTTACCGAGTCTGACAACCCGATTGATATAGTCGGTATACGACCAGCATAGGGAACCAATTAGTATATGAAGCTTTAAATAGTTCGACATCGAGACAACGTTTTGAGACTTATTTGACGCTTCAGGGTAAGGTCCATGATCCAGCTGTCTAACGGTATTTTGTAATTACTCACGTCCGTCCCAGACAAACCCGTGATTGAAAGCATGAACACCATTTCACGGTACGATCAACCGAACCTGACCAGCCCATGATCTTGAGTCCGCTCGTACGACAAGCATGGGCATCTTGGGTGTATTTTCCCCCGAATTCCCCAGGGAGTCGGAAGTCGATAGCTTTCTTGAACATTTCGGTTATAAGTAAAAAGTTTAAATGTAGTTTTCAAATATTTCAAAAATGTCGGTTCGATTACATGACGTGCGCACATCCCACCGAACAGCCATACTTCGTGAATATTGATACTGCAAATGTTGTTACATTGCATACTCCCCAATTCACTTGTTATATCATCTAATTCTGCATTCCAAATGGTGGAGTGAGTGAGTGAGTATGGTTTTACGCCGCTTTTAGCAATATTCCAGCAATATCGCGGCGGGGGGACACATTGTACCCATGTCGGGAATCGAACCCGGGTCTTCGGCGTGACGAGCGAACGCTTTAACCACTAGGCTACCCGACCGCCCCGAAAATGGTGGAAACCAATAAGTCAATATATTTTAAAAACATCATACTACTATTTCCTTACTATTTAAGGTTCTGGCTTAGCACGGTCCAAAACATACCTGAATCAATGTTCCAGGTAGGGTCCGTGCCAGGAATGCCAGACCAATACACAACCCTCCATAAAACCAAACTGCAACACAGCAAATATATCATGTACGCACATTCCTGTAAAGGTGCCGCCTCCGTGGTCTTGTGGTAGAGCGTCCGCCCGGAGAGCGGAAGGTCCGGGGTTCGATCCCCGGGCGCGTCATACCAAAAAGACGTTAAAAGATGGTACTTGTTGTTACCCTGTCTGGCGCTCGACATTAATGGGCTAAAACAAGGACTGGTCGGCTCGGAGTCAGTATACTGTGTCTGAGTGGGGTATTCATGTTAAACTGCGGCATGGTATCTCAGTGAGCTAGCACTATAAATCGGCATCAGTCCGGACTAGTACAAGCAGCCACACACACACACACGTGCATGCACGTCGCTATATAAGTGCAATAATCTTGGACGCGACGTTTAACCCAATTTCACCTCACCTCACCATTCCTGTAAAGTGCAGTTAAAGGCCTCATTGCCTATAGTCAACACATCACCAGTATTTATCTTTCTCAATACAAAAATACTGGAACCAGCACCAAACTCGGTATCTATGTTCAAAGTTGCTTGATACATGTATACGAGTATATCATGTCAGTTGTAAGTTGGGGTAACGTCGAGGTGATTCAGGTCTTATCACTTTGGTGAATACCTGGATACCGTGTATCATGCTGACAATCCCAATCCCAATGTGATCACAATCAGGACACATGGGATTCCAGTATTGAGAATGCGCTGCAAGAACCTTTTTTCAGCTGGATAGATATTGTTTTGTTCGATGAACGTTTGTATTTTGTCAGAACATACCTGCTAGCTTTGCAACGACCAATCTCACGGACTCCTTGGTTTTAAACCGCTCAAATGGCAGCTTCAGAATATCCTCAACAGTGTTTGCAGCGAGACCATTAGTGACCGACGACAAGGTGCTAAAACAAACCGCATTAAGATGTAGGTGAAAAGTGAATACAAACGAAATTTGAACAAAACTGAAGACGTGGACAATCGAGTTTGTCATCATAGATCTTATGACAATGCATAACTTAAAAATGATCAATCGAATAGCGCTAATAGCGATTAAAGCTACTTCAAATTATATATATTCACCACAGAGAGGTAGTTCTAATAAAATTTTATTGGAAATGAAATATCTGCAAATTCCAACATAGTAGTATCATGTTTTATTGGCATTTCATAGCTCCATGATATGAGATGTTTTCTGTCCATAAATGTATGTTACTATTTTAATGGTAAATTCGCCCTGGGCCGGATTCGACCAAACCGCTACTATGAACCTGATGTAAAGTACATGTACATGTATACGATTTGTTTGTTTGTTGTTTAACGCCGCACTCAGCAATATTCCAGCTATATGACGGCGGTCTGTAAGTAATCGAGCCTTGACCAGACAATCCAGTGATTGACGTTATGATCATCGATCCTCGCAAATGGGATACGATGACATGCATCAAACAAGTCAGCGAGCTTGACCACCCGATCCCGTTAGTCGCCTTTTATGACAAGCATAGTCGCCTTTTACGGTACACCCGATCCCGTTAGTATCCTTTTATGACAAGCATAGTCGCCTTTTACGGCAAGCATGGGTTGCTGAAGACCTATTCTAACCCGGATCTTCACATGTATATGAAGCCGTGAAGATCCCGGGTAAGAATTATATTACAGATCCCCAACTACCTGTCGTACATGTAATAGGCGACTAAATGGATCGGGTGGTGAGGGTCGGTGGCTTTGCATGTCCTTGTATCCCAATTTCATTGACTAATGCTCATGGCGTCAGTCACTGGAATGTCTGGTCCAGACTCGAATATTTAAAGATCGCCGTCAAATAGATGGGACACGCAACAGTTTCTATAAATCTTTGGCTACGTAATTTTCTGTAAAAATACATTGGTTCAATAAAGACTGGAATAAGAAATGCATTTGCAGCCGCACAATCCCTACCTTGTTTGAACTGTTGTACATTTGTGCCAAAAAAAGGATTTTTTATGGATTTCCAAACACAAGATGTCTACGATACCCATCTTCCCGAGGCAAGAGAGTTAACTGACTTTAAAAGTCTATGCATAGACTCGTTAGTCCAGCCAAAATGTAACTCCATAATACCAGCCTAGTTCGGCAAGGGTGGAAACTGGACTTTTATGGGCAGTTAACTCACTTGCCTCGGGAAGATGACGATACCCAGCAACTGTGTATTATGCGTCTGTATTTCTTTAATTTTCAAAATTTTAAATCAAATGACATTTTCAAGAATAAAACCATGTAGAAGTATTATTTTAGAGAAGGCTAAGCGCCAGTAAAGTTCCTTTTTCAATGTTATCTTGCTAAGATAGTGTCTATTCAAATTCAAACATAATATAACCCTTATCCATAAAACGTGCACTAGACAGAAATCACGCATCATTTTGTGCTGCATGTGTTGCTTGTTACCCGCTAAGCTCACCTTAATGCCGCGCTGAATATTGTGGCCAGGTACAAACCGGGCATGCCTGGCAGATCTTTAAACAATTCCAGTACAACGAAAGGCATCAGCTGAGATGTAAAAAAATAAAACACATTATCAAACAGTCAGCAGGAACAACGAATTAACTGTTCCGAAAGAACGATTGGTTTAAATCTCAAGCAGTTACCGGGCTTGGGGCTTTCAATATTCATTCACGGGGGACAGATTATACGATATTCCGAGTTTCTAGTAGGTTATTCTGTGAGATGGTTATTTTGAGGGAACAACTGAGGGACGTAAGGAAGAGAATTTATAAATGTCACCTGATGAAGGAGTAAACATATACTCCGAAACGTTGTGTTCCTCATTAAAAAGAAGTTGATATCCATCAATTTTCTTCCTTATGGGGGGCATGGGGGGCCCAGTCGTCTAAGGCGCCGCGATTCGCTGTGCAGAGTTGCGTCCCTTGGGCACGCCAGAAACCTATGATTGTGGGTTCGAATCCCCGTTCGCCCCGATTATGTTTCTAGGTTTGTCAGCACCATACCCGTGCTCGTGGGTTTCACCGAAGTGGTAAACGTCTGAGACCTGTATCACTTCGGGCTTTCCTCCAACATTAAGCTGACACGCCGCGATATAACTGGAATACTGTTAAAAGCGGCGTTAAACCCAACTCACTCACTCACTCACTCTTCCTTATGTGGGGGCACGGGTGGCCCAGTCGTCTAAGGCGCCGCGATTCGCTGTGCAGTTGCTTTCCTTGGGCACGCCAAAGACCTATGATTGTGGGTTCGAATCCCGGTTCGCGCCGATTATGTTTCAAGGTTTGTCAGCACCATACCCGTGGTCGTGGGTTACACCGAAGTGGTAAACGTCTGAGACCTGCATCACTTCGGGTTTTCCTCCCACATTTAGCTGACACGCCGCGATATAACTGGAATACTGTTAAAAGCGGCGTTAAACCCAACTCACTCACTCTTCCTTATGTGTATCACTTCAATATGCCTTTCAAAGACTTAATTGAAGAACATTTTATGAAATGTCCTTATTCGAAGTAACTGCTCTGTTATTGATGATGTAACTTTATCAATCTATTCTCAATAATGTTTTGTTTGTTGTATGTTGTTTAACGCCACACTCCGAAATATTCCAGGTATATGACAGCAAGCATATATCATAGGCAGTTTGGCATCGTATATAGGTTTTAAAAGGGCGTCTGTATATTTTAACAGGGAGTCTATATACGTTTTATATATTCCCACAGTTAAGTAAGTTGATTATATCTATTTAAATATTCACAGTGCTGCAAATACAAATTATAACAGCAGCTGGGGTATCATTACCATGGCCAGCAGCACAGAGTCATGTGCGGGTCAGCGGCTTTTAATTAAGGCTTGAGAATGACCGGTTGGCCACTGAAGCTTAACATTGTTGATCATACGCCGGACACTACAAGCTGACCATCTATGTAACGTAACACGATACATGGCAGTCTGACAGTGAGGGTTAAAGATAGTACGCTTTCAGTGAGTCGAGACTTGACCTTGGGACAGTGGCTAGGCAGGTTGGTCCTCTTACGACCTCTAACGCCTGCTGAGGCGCATCGCATTGTTGTACTACTATCGACCCTTGAAGATCCGGCGCAGAATTAGGTCTTCAGCAACCGATGCTTGCTGTAAAAGGCGACTTTGTATCCCAGGTAAACGGTGGTGCTCTACCGGATATTTCTGCTTTTGACAACACAAGTCCGTCTGTGGGTCCACAACGTATATATAAAGATCACGAATAAACGCTGTGGACCCACAGACGGACTTGTGTTGTCAAAAGCAGGAATATCCGGTAGAGCACCAACGTTGACAAAGTCGCCTTTCACAGCAAGCATGCGTTGCTGAAGACCTAATTCTGCGCCGGATCTTCAAGGATCGATTTGCCAGTTGTAGCAACCTTATGTCTTACGGCTACCTTGATGAGATCCGGGGTAGAATATGCCTTCAGCAACCCATGCTTGTCGTAAGAGGCGACAATGCTTGTCGTAAGAGGCGACTAACGGGATCGGCTTGTCATTGTATACCAATTGCGTGGATCGATGCTCATGTTATCAATCACTGGACTGTCTTGTCCAGACACGATTCTTAACAGGCCGCTGTCATATAGCTGGAATATTGGTGAGTGCGGAGTTAAACAACAAACAAACAAACAACTGGCAAATCAGCTTCGAGAATCACCAAAGTCCAAATGTGCAAATATCCGAAAGGTATTGTCCCGATTTAAAACAATGATGGGCAATATATAACACAATTTAATTAAATCTCGCCGAGATATTGCTTCTCGCTGATTGACCACTTGACCATATTAATCTATAATTGCGCCCTTTTGTACAAAGTCTTGGGCAATGACGCATGTCGGTTATTCATAATTTCGTATTTATCAATAAAATCTCACCTGATTTCTGTTGGTGAGGATGCCAACCGTGAAGGGGTCACACTCTGTGGCCGCGAAGAAGCTGTATGCCAGTATACCCATGAGGCACACACAGGTCATGTAGACACCAACCAGAATCATATTACCTATGTACGCGCTGTGGGTATAATATGCATTGCTTGAGCTAACTGTCATTTCTGTGTATAGTACATGTGGAATACAGTACAATTGTAACGTGATGACCAATTCTGTTACTTACATGCTCTTTCTACCAAGTTTTCAGATTTGATGCATCAGTGACAGAAATGATGCAGTTCTCTATTTTGACGTGTACCATTATCCCCGTGTTTTTAGGTGAATAATTGACTTGCCTTTGGATGTGTTTGTGACGGCTCTCACCGGCAGGGCAGGACACATACACCTAGTATTATCACTATTTGATATTGATACATAAACACATGCTCATGATATAACAGGAATCGTACAATCGATACTTACTTTGGCCGAGATCTCTTATGAAAAATTATTATGGAAAGGGTCTTGGCCCCGTTCCTCAAAGCGATCTTAGCGTTACGATGATCGTAAGACTATGCTAAAGTATGGGACTTACGATCACCTTAGTGCTAAGATCGCTTTGAGGAACGGGGCCCTTGTCTATTTCAATTAGATATAAAACGTCATCGCAAGAAAATATTCTACTAGGCTTTAAAGGGCAAAATAGTGAGGAAAAGTACATGAATGGATCACTGATAATTAGTGATTACACAAGGTGTTCGCAAAAACGGAAGGCAGTGTATCATTATTAAACTCATTGTACCATGTTCAACTGGGCCAATTTAAGATATTACCCTGATTTGTTTGTTTGTTTCTTTGTTGTTTAACGCCGCACTCAGCAATATTCCAGCTATATGACGGCGGTCTGTAAAATAATCGAGTCTGGACCAGACAATCCAATGATTTACATCATGAGCATCGATCCACGCAATTGGGATCGATGACACTTATCAACCAAGTCAGCGAGCCTGACCACCCGATCCCGTTAGTCGCCTTTTACGACAAGCATAGTCGCCTTTTACGGCAAGTATCGGTTGCTGAAGATCTATTCTACCCCGGATCTTCACGGGTCTATTACCAAGAATTCATATTTTTGTCAGGACTGAGATGTTGGGGTGTTTGGGTAGCCTGTTGGTGAAAGCGTTGTTACTTCGCTCGTCACCTTTAAGTTCCGGGTTCGATTCCCTACATGGGTATACTGTGGGAAGCCTATTTATTGTGTCCCCTCACTCTCTGACTGCAGAGGAAAACATCAGACATTGCTGTCTAGGAATAGCCAATAAACACCCCCGAAGGGGAGCATCGACAGAAAAGAGTCGCGAATGGTTGCCGTTGCAAGAGTTATCTAAACAGGAAGCCCTCTCCCACGCCATATTCAACAAGTGGGAAGCTTTTCAACGGCTTTCAAATGTTTGTTTCGCTTGTTTGTGTGTTGTTGTTTAACGCATCACGTAGCAACATTCAAGCTATTTGACAGTGATCTGTTAATAATCGAGTCTGGACCAGACAATCAAGTGATTGATGTCATGAGCATCGATCCACGCAATTGGGACACGATGACATGTATCAACAAAGTCCGCAAGCTTGACCACCCGATCCCGTTAATTGCCTCTCACGACAAGCATAGTCGCCTCTTACGGCAAGCATCGGTTGATGGTCATGATGACCTATTCTAACCCGGATCTTCACGGGGCGCAAAGTGAGTAAAGTTTACGCCGCTTTCAGTAATATTATAACAATATCACGATGAGAAACACTGACACCCGTGGGGATTCCGGGTAAAAATATGCTCCTTGGTAACTTCAGTCTGTCCTAAGAGGCAACTGAATGGATAGTGAGGCTCGATGACTTGGTTGATGCGACCCGTGAAGCCCCGGGGTAGAATAGGTGTTTCAGCAACCCATGCTTGCCGTAAAAGGCGACTATGCTTATCGTAAGAGGCGAGTAACCGGATCGGGTGGTCAGGCTCGCTGACTTGGTTGATACATGTCATCGTATCCCAAATGTGTGGATCGATGCTCATGATTTCAATCACTGGATTGTCTGGTCCAGACTCGATTATTTACAGACCGCTGTCATATAGCTGGAATATTGCTGAGTGCCACGTTAAACAACAAAGAAACAAACAAAGAAACAAACAAACAAACTTGGTTGATGCATGTCGTATCGTAAGTGCCAGAATCGATTAATTACAAAACGCCGTCATATAGCTGAAATATTGCTGAGTGTGGCGTTAATGAACAATCAAACAAGCAGGAAAGGAACATTAACAGTGGGTTTAACAATACAGTCGCGGGGAATGAGAAACTGGGACCATCGAATGATCTGCATCCCCTGGGCTCCACTATCGCCACCTCAGAGGGATTCAAAGACGATTCAACAATCATGCATCAAGACGTTCTTGATGATGTTCAGAAAGCGTGTTGAATATCACAAACGGAACGCTATAAATAATAAGATGGTGAATGTGTAAATCTACAGAAGGACAGTCGTTCTATGATTGCCATGTTGCCTATAATTCGATATTGCCTTTCGGTAAAGTGCTCTGAATATCACGAATATCAACTACATATCTCTTTCGCGGTTTTCTAGAACCAATACATTTTCTAACCCCTTTCGTTTACATTTGTTTGGGGAAATGATATGCTTAATTCTAAATATATAAATCTCAAACGATACGTCATGTTAACTTATCTGTATATAACCGTTCCAATCAAGACTTGTCCAACGTGTGGTTTCTATATATAGAACATTCCCTGCCCAATATGAGCGCTCTCTCTGTCATGTCGTCTTCCACAGTTGTGACCCAGGTGGGAACAACACCCTATTTCCGTCGTAAGTGGCGACCAATCTGGCTCAGAAAGTTGGTCTTTGAGACTCGGTCGATGACGTGTCATCTGGCCCATACAATGTACCAACATGGGATACAGAGGTATCGCGGGTGACGGAGCAACGCTTTAACTGCTAGGCTACCTCATCGCCCCAAGGCGACGCACACGTGCTATATATCGATGTTGTTAATTTAGAGACACTTACATTCTTGCCCCAGTTATAGTTGGTAAAGCGCAGATCCTTTGAATAGCTGACTGGTCGAATGAGTAAGCGCAGAATGTGAATGTCCCTCCTATAACTAGCGCCCAGAAGGAATGACGTTCTCGAGGGTCGAAGTCGAAACTGCAGAGACATAACGTAGAGACGTTGTAAATTATAATCATGTTCTCAAATTATGCAAATAATGCTTATATAATAATAATAATAATAATAATAATAATAATAATAAAAATATAAAAAAATGATCGAATTAAAGTCAAAGCCACAAATACTTATGCTGTACCCGTCCTTTCGTACTCTGTTGGTGCTGTTGATTGGACGAAACAAGAAATTCGGATTATTAACACCCTCACACGAAGACTTTTGACAGACAATAGATCCCACAACCCTCGCTCCTCACTCAGTCGCTTATGTTTACCAATAAAAAGGGAGGGCGTGGTTGATTAAAGTGGCGGCTCTTTTTTATGAAAGAATTGAATTGCGCACTTTTGCATACATTAATTTGTATGGTGATCGTCCTGTGAAGCATGTCAAACATGATGAAAACAATGCATTCCGCAGCTCTCTTGAACGAATCAAGGATGTAGGACATAATTTCAATGTCAATGTTGATTTTGTTGATTGTTCTGTACTGCTGGACGGTACAGAAATGAGTGTCAATTGAGCGAAGTGCCATATCGGTGTCTAGCCGGGAGAGCCACATTTCAGAAATGGCTATTGCCGGTAGAGCCACATTTTCAGCTGAGAGCATTTCACCTATTTTAGCGGGTAATTAATTAATCCGATTACCGATACCTTTAAATGAGTGTCCCACATTTAAATTACATCCTCATCTTCACTACAGACAAGAACATTGAACATTTCCTGGGACATTAGTTAGAGGGTGTTTCTTTCACTTCACCCAATGTATCTGGAGGAGGGTGCAGAAAGAAGGTCTCCCTCTAGTACCTCGTGACAAAGTGGATGATGTGTGGCTTGATGCCATTGCTGACTCTCCTGCTTGCCCTAAAGTGACTGCCTTCATGGACTACGTGACAACCAGTTGGGTTCAAGGAGGGGCCTTCATGCCAGAGATTTGGAACCATTTCGAAAACCAAGGCCATCGTACCAATAATCACCTGGAAGGGTGGCACAACAAGATAAAGAAACTTGCCAAGAAGTGCCACCCGAACATCTACGAGGTAGTGAAGCTATTTCAGCTAGGGCAGTCACTCAAAGAGGTTGCAGTCCTGAGACTCTCTAACCAGTAGTCAGAACCTTCACGAAGAAAGAAGTACAAGGCAATCGATGCACGTATTGCGTCCCTCAAGATCCAGCTCCTGAACCAACAGCTGAGTGAGATGGAATATGCTGAGCACGTGGGCGACCTCCTTCATCTGCAGTAATGACCTTAAATCCATTATGATATCCATATGCTATTCATATTCAACAATGTGAACTTTTGATGAATATGTTATCCTTGTTGAATAAACAATGAGAAAACAAGACTTGTTTTGTTATATACGGTAACCTGTTAGAATCACAAAGCATGTTTTGACAGCATAGCCGCGAGAGCCACATTATACACTCACGCAACCATAACCATTGCCGCGAGAGCCACATCAATTTGGGCTATCTATTTTCGAAATGTGGCTTTGCCGGCCTGTAACCGCCATATCAAATCGGCCCAGACTCAGTTTTTCAAAGACAACTGCATCGCGTTTATGTGCAGTGTTGAGAGGATTAGCAACCCTGCAGAGTCCTTTGCTTGGATGAAGTCGGCTGGCCTGAAAAGTGAAACAGAAGGCTTTCTGTTGCTGCTCAGGACCAGTCACTTCCCACTCGAAACCGCCTATATGTGATTTTGCATCAAAATGTAAGTAAGAAATGTTTATAATGCAATGAATATAATGAGACTGCCCAACACATCATCAGTGGATGCCCTGCGTTGGCACAAACACAGTATTTACAGCGACGCAATGGCGTGTTTTGATCCGTTTGTAACCGTCTTCGCGATGCTTGTTGTTTTGACACAGAGTTTATCTATGGTACGAACCAGAATATGTAGATGGCGTCATGGAAAATGATAAATTCAAAATTCTTTGGAATAGGTCCGTATACAGCCTCAGACTTATACAGACCAACGAACCCGATTTTATCCTTTTTGATAAATTCAGTGAAATCATTTATATTCTTGAATTTTCTGTGCCTTTTGACACTAATGTGATTGACAAGATTCAGGAACAACATCTCAAAAATGCGGACACCGCTTTCGAAATGTCACGCTTGCATCCCAAGTACCAAGTTGCCCGACTCACCATTGTTCTCGGTGACATGAGATGAGTATGAGAATACTTACTGGCGATCAATGTTAAGTTTAAGTGACAAGGTACTTGCTTGGGTGGTGTTATCCTTCCGCCCTCTTTCGCCAACTCAAACGATCTCTCCAGGCCGCCTGTGTCACCAACGCACTAAACAGAAAGCCGTAATATGTTTAGGTGTTCACACACTGCATATTCTATGTAATGGAGTTATATTACGAAGATATTAAATTGTCAAGATACAGACTGGGAAGATATCAGCGCTGATAAAACAAATCCAAAACGTCAACGTCAACGTCAACGTCAACGCCAGAAAGAAACAGTCTCGACCATCTGCCGAAACAGCCTCCAATTGGCGCAAAAGGCAAAACAGCCATGAAATTTATATGAATGGATCCCTGAAAATCAGTGATGACACAAGGTGTTCGCGAAAAGGTCAAGCACGTCCTGCCCCACCGGCAGCAACCGACACTCACAATTTGCCCAAAAAGGTAAGTGCCCATTTGTTTCCAAACGCTACAAAGTCCCGGCAAACGACGATGGTCTGTAGACAATGGAGTGTAGATCAGACAATCCGGAAGGAATTACAGCATCCAGTCCATCAACAAATTTATAATATAGTTCTTTCCTGTCACGGATGCACTATATTCACATAAACTGCCGTTGAAAAGAAAGTTACACTCAAGTCTAACGGTGGCTAAATAAGAAACAAACAAAAATTGGTTAATCGATGGTGATGTATTTGACACAGGTATCATAGTTGTGTTTTGGACCTAAAATTTGCAACATTTTGGCGACTGTTTTGAGCCTATTAACGTTTTGATAGCGTTTGTAATTTTTGTGATCCAATTCAATTTTCAAGCGTATATTGTTTGCCCGTGTATGTATGTTTCAGCACTCACCTTTACTAGAATAGCAATGACACCGATCATGATGATTGCTGCTTGGAACACATCCACCAAGACCACACCCCGGATCCCACCCTACAAGCAGGATACACTATAGTAGCGACTGTGGTAACTTGCAGACTTAACATCATCAATCTTTGTTCATGCGGTTGCTCCTTATCTCCACTTATCTTTCGAAATCCATTCATAGAATCTAAATATCTTTTCCAGTTCACTTCAGTCTTACTTTTCGCATCAAATTTAACTTTTAATATGTTATATAATAATCTAGTTTAGATTTTATAATTGCAATATTTATATATAAATGAAATTAAAATTTTAGTATTTTTTTTATTATATACATTAGTCCTGCACCATGACTGTGGAATATGTTATTTTATGAAAAAACACAATCTGGAAGCGTATACAAAAGCAAGTCTAGCCAGCTCTAGCTAGCTGTATTCCACATTGAAATCAGCATCGGGCAAATCTGGAGTATTATTTTATTTTATTTTTAGAGTCAAGAAGGGTAATGTGTAATATAAGATTTCATACAGTAAATGTTAGTCTATATATACATGTGTGTAAGGTAATATTGTTTAACATGGGTTTTATATAAGGTTGTATATACTTACAATCGAAGTGTATATTATCCCCACCAGTCCTACGATGACTACAGACACCCAAAAAGGCAATCCAGTGGCTGAAAAAATATCATCGAGTGAGTGAGTAAGTTGGTTTAACGCCGTTTTTAACGGTCATGTCATGTCATTTTATTGAATTAATACGATTGGATTTACAATCTACGAGAGCTTCAGACAATTTCTTAACCTTCAACATGTTCACCCTTTGTGTGTCGTGTATTTAGTGTGTTGTATTATAACATGATACTAAAGTCTTATAATGACCAATAATAATTACAATTCAAAGTTAAATTTACCCTCTAGCTCACACTGGTTGGCATGGTTAGATTTGTTTTTAACGAAGGCATCTTAACTCTCCTTAACTGATAAATAAAGGTGACTGTTCAATTCACATAAATCTTTTTTTTCATTTACATGTTATTGTAACTTGGAAGTGTTATCAATCAGTGTACTAATATAATTGCCCAGGTGATATTACCTGTCTGTATAGATAATGACGGCGAGAGCAGCATCACGGCCGTGAATAATATCTGAAACAGTAAAATGTTAAGACGCACCTGATCATGAAATAAATACTAAGCTATATCAGCTAAGGGACCGACCATTTGACGTTTGTTATTCTTGGTGTGGGTGTGGGTGTGGGTGTGTGTTGGGGCTAAGCAAACAATGTTACAGTTCTCAGCTTCCGCAAAACATTGTTCGCTGGACACATTGGGTATCAAGAAAAAAATGTGTAGTTTAAATACAACAATGCTCGTCTCCTTCAGGCAGTGACCGATAACAAAAATCACGACCCCTCACGAAATCCAAGATGAAGAAATAAGACGTAGAAGCCTGCAACATGTTTGAGTCGATCTAGCGAAGTGTGAATGTTCTGAATGTGAAATTGTGATCTTGCTTCTCGCTTGAGCTCCCGCTGTGTGCACACATTCCAGATATGACACACACTTAAAGGGTCAAACAATACAGTCATGTTCACAGACACAGCCATACATAAACTACATGCAGTATTTTGTTTGGAGCAGGTTACGCTCCCATGTTTCGCGAGGTATACATTGATTCATGAATGCTGGTCTCCATGAATAGGAACTCCGTTTTGACCTTCTGATCAAAAGTCTTGTACTTGTTATGATGGAAGTATCTACTTTTTTTACTTATCAGTGAGGGGTGGTGGGTTGGGTTTTCGAGTACTGGTTAATAATAGTGAGTGAGTTGGGTTTAACGCCGCTTTTAACAGTATTCCAGCTTTATCACGGCGTGTCAGCTTAATGTGGGAGGAAGCCCGAAGTGATGCAGGTCTCAGACGTTTACCACTTCGGTGAAACCCACGAGCACGGGTATGGTGCTGACAAACCTAGAAACATAATCGGGGCGAATCGGGATTCGAACCGATCATAGGTTTCTGGCGTGTCCAAGGGACGCAACTCTGCACAGCGAATTGCGGCGCTTTAGACGACTGGGCCACCCGTGCCCCCGGTTAATAATAGAATCTGGACCAGGCCAACCAGTAGCAGATATCTCGTGCAAGGATGAAGGTTGTAGGATGGTACGCATGACCTTTCCTACAACATAATCCCCATGGGTCGTTATGTAAGTTCGCTGTGCACAGTTGTGTCCCGTAGGAGTGTCCGAAATCTGTGATCATGGGTTCGAATCCCAGAGTCTCCCTTCTTATATTTCTAGGTGTGTCAGCACCATACCCGTGCTTGAGGATTTCGTCAAAGAGGTACTGGGTTAGAACAGGTCTTCGGCAACCCATGCTTGCCCAAGACTATGCTTGTCGTAACGGGATCGGGTGGTCAGGTTCGCTGACTTGGTTCATGCATGTCATCGTACTCAATTGCGTAGATCGATGCTTATGACGTAAATCACTGGATTGTCTGATCCAGGCCCAATTATTTTCTGACCGCCGTTATATAACTGGAATATTGATGAGTGCGGCGTTAAACAGCAAACAAACACACATCAAAGAGCTAAACGTTTAAAACCTACATAATTTCGGGCTACCGACACGCAGCGATGTAACAGAAATATTGTTAAAGGCAGCGTAAAACAAATTTACTTACTTGTTATCTTAGATATTTACCTTAGGCTCAGATTAGACACATTGTTAATAAATAAAGTTAATGAAACAACTGTGTTATTCTAGCCATTAGGAATCAGATGCATATTATTTCTGTGACATGATATTGACATTATACATGGTAAGTAAAGGTGCCCTCATTACCATCTTGTAGCCCTACCCTTTGGGGATCCTGGTAGAAACACTAGCTATAACTAAATGACTAACTGGGCTATTTAAACAAATGCCACAGCACTGCATGAAAAGGAAAACCATATTGCAGACTGTTAACCTGTTCCAGTAACATGAAAATAGAGTCATATTGAGAAGGTCTTAAACCATCCCTCACTATACACGGAGAAGGGGATAATATGGAGATCAACACCTCACCATAATACATTTGACCTATGACTGACGCTCTTGGCTGAGGTGCTTGGTTTCAGGTGAGATTTTGAGCAGCCCCTCGACACACATTCATCTGAGTAATATATTTCGGAAGGTGGGTTCAACTAGCGAACACTTCGGCCTTGTACCAATTCACATGAGAACACAACACAACAGCAGGTTGGTCGGTTGGTTGGTTTTAACGCCCCACTCAGCAATATTCCAACTATATGACGGCGGTCTGTAAATAATCTAGTCTGGACCACACAATCCAGTAATTGATATCATGAGCATCGATCCACGCATTTGGTATCGATGACATGCATCAACCAAGTCAGCGAGCCTGACCACACGATCCCGTTAGTCGCCTCTTACGAGAAGCATAGTCGCCTTTTACGGCAAGCATGGGTTGCTGAAGACCTATTCTAGCAATGTGACGCGTGTCAAGTCATAGAAAACATACATTAAAGCTAAACAACTTGTCAAAAGACATAGATATTGCTACGTGTACATTGTGTCTGATTGTGTCTGTGTGTGTACTTTGGTACCGATTTGGGGTGAAGATTTTTATCTGTCAAATGGATCGCCATTGAGTCACAAGTGGGACGCTGTTACCTGTTGATTCAGGAACTTTGCATAATAGGGTACATGGCATGCAATGGTTATTCAGCGCACAGAGCACTTATGCACAGTGAATGCTGCGCTATACAAAAGCATACATTCTTATTATTATTATAATATTATTATTATTATTATTATTATTATGTTATGTTATGTTATCAGTTAAACATTCAAGAGTAGGCAAAGTAGCAACAAATTCCGTTATGCATGACGGTGAATAGTTCCTTGTTTCCAAATGATACCATGAGCGTATTACCATTTTCCCGGCTACGAATCCCACATCATCGTTGAAAGCATACTAAGATGTAAACAATAAGCATAATAATAATAAACGAGGGTTTATATAATGTACATGTGACTTCTCGGCCTCTGTCACATGTGTGTATACAGAAGGGGTCGTATTCGACCATGAGAGGGTCCTTAAACAGGGCGCCGGATATGACTGAGGATATGTGTCCCCTCAAGCAGTGGTGTTTGTTTCTCCTCACCTTCTGAACCATGCCGACCACAGTCACCAGGAGACGCAGTGTGGGGGACCCGAAACGAAGCTGGAAGTACTGCAGAGAAAAAACATCATTTATTTATCTGTGAAAAAAAAAGATAAAAAAAAGGTGCAAGGTGATTAGCCAGTCTAAAGAACTTTGCATGTCTCTCATTTTGAAGTTTTAATACATGATTACTACACCACTATAATATAGTTGTTTGATGCTGTTTCTTGTCGAGACAGTGTAAAGAAAGCGTTTTTATGTTTTAACCAAGACTTACCTCGTACATACTGGTGACTTGGATGGCGTGCATTATGGGGACAACGGTGATCAAGGCGATCGGGTACGAAAGAGCTGTAGACGCCACAAACAGACAGAAATCCGACCCCGTCGTGAACGTCTCTGCCGGTATCCCTATAAGCGACGTCGCCGACATGAACGTCACAAACAGTGACAACATGACAGGTATCGGATGGAGACTCCTCCCTCCAAGTAGATATTCCTCTTTCGTATCATTCTTTCTCCCCTTAATGGCCAGGTAAACACCTATAGTCAACGGCACAGCCAACGTTGCAGCAATTACGATGTAGTCATACACTGACAATGTCGAGGAGGTGGCCATCTTGAACGATGTGACTGAACCTTCGACTCGCAACCAGACACCCAGTATTGGTTCAATTCATTCATGTTATGGGGGTGATGGGTAGTAAGTACAGACATCGCATTACTTGACTCATTTAATGTATCACAGGTAGTTCAGAGCAGAACACAAACTGTGCTCAACGATTGAATAAGTGGCTAGTAGGGGGTGGCCTCCGTGTATTGAGTACATGTTTGCCACAATAGTTCTTGTTGTTCAGGGCAATTGATGATACATAGGAATTGGCGTATGATTTCAGTAAGATTTCAGTTAGGAAGATGAACACATGATGTTACTAGGCCTGTGGAATATGGTTTAAGTCACGTGTGTGTTGAGGAGAATGAGGTGTTAGTCACACGTGTGTTGTAGGCCTACGAAATGTGGTGTTAGCCACACGCGTATAGTAGGCCTACGAAATGTGGGGTTAGCCACACGTGTGTAGTAGGCCTACGAAATGTGGGGTTAGCCACACGTGTGTAGTAGGCCTTCGAAATGTAGTGTAAGTCACAGGTGTGTTGTAGGCCTACGAAATGTGGTGTTAGCCACACATGTGTAGTGGGCCTACGAAATGTGGTGTTAGCCACACGTGTATAGTAGGCCTACGAAATGAGGTGTTAGCCACACGTGTGTAGTAGGCCTACAAAATGTGGGGTTAGCCACACGTGCGTAGTAGGCCTACGAAATGTGGGGTTAGCCACACGTGTGTAGTAGGCCTACGAAATGTGGGGTTAGCCACACGTGTGCAGTAGGCCTACGAAATGTGGGGTTAGCCACACGTGTGTAGTAGGCCTACGAAATGTGGGGTTAGCCACACGTGTGTAGTAGGCCTACGAAATGTGGTGTTAGACGCGTGTAGTAGGCCTACGAAATGAGGTGTTAGCCACACGTGTGTAGTAGGCCTTCGAAATGTGGGGCTAGTCACACGTGTGTAGTAGGCCTTCGAAATGTGGTGTTAGTTAGACGCGTGTAGTAGGCCTACGAAATGTGGTGTTAGTTAGACGCGTATAGTAGGCCTACGAAATGTGGTCTTAGTCGTACGTGTATAGTAGGCCTACGAAATGTGGTGTTAGTCACACGTGTGTAGTAGGCCTATTGAATATGGTGTAAGTTACACGTGTGTAGTAGGCCTATTGAATATGGTGTAAGTTACACGTGTGTAGTAGGCCTACGAAATGTGGTGTTAGTTAGACGCGGTCAGAAATGTGGCGTTAGTTAGACGCGTGTAGTAGGCCTACGAAATGTGGCGTTAGTTAGACGCGTGTAGTAGGCCTACGAAATGTGGCGTTAGTTAGACGCGTATAGTAGGCCTACGAAATGTGGTGTTAGTTAGACGCGTGTAGTAGGCCTACGAAATGTGGCGTTAGTTAGACGCGTATAGTAGGCCTACGAAATGTGGCGTTAGTTAGACGCGTGTAGTAGGCCTACGAAATGTGGTGTTAGTTAGACGCGTGTAGTAGGCCTACGAAATGTGGTGTTAGTTAGACGCGTGTAGTAGGCCTACGAAATGTGGGGTTAGTTAGACGCGTATAGTAGGCCTACGAAATGTGGTGTTAGTTAAACGCGTGTAGTAGGCCTACGAAATGTGGTGTTAGTTAGACGCGTATAGTAGGCCTACGAAATGTGGTGTTAGTTAGAGGCGTGTAGTAGGCCTACGAAATGTGGCGTTAGTTAGACGCGTGTAGTAGGCCTACGAAATGTGGCGTTAGTTAGACGCGTGTAGTAGGCCTACGAAATGTGGCGTTAGTTAGACGCGTATAGTAGGCCTACGAAATGTGGTGTTAGTTAGACGCGTGTAGTAGGCCTAAGAAATGTGGCGTTAGTTAGACGCGTATAGTAGGCCTACGAAATGTGGCGTTAGTTAGACGCGTATAGTAGGCCTACGAAATGTGGCGTTAGTTAGACGCGTATAGTAGGCCTACGAAATGTGGCGTTAGTTAGACGCGTATAGTAGGCCTTCGAAATAGGGCGTTAGTTAGACGCGTATAGTAGGCCTACGAAATGTGGTGTTAGTTAGAGGCGTGTAGTAGGCCTACGAAATGTGGCGTTATTTAGACGCGTGTAGTAGGCCTACGAAATGTGGTTTTTGTTAGACGCGTGTAGTAGGCCTACGAAATGTGGTGTTAGTTAGACGCGTGTAGTAGGCCTACGAAATGTGGTGTTAGTTAGACACGTATAGTAGGCCTAAGAAATGTGGCGTTAGTTAGACGCGTATAGTAGGCCTACGAAATGTGGTGTTAGTTAGACGCGTGTAGTAGGCCTACGAAATGTGGCGTTAGTTAGACGCGTATAGTAGGCCTACGAAATGTGGCGTTAGTTAGACGCGTATAGTAGGCCTACGAAATGTGGCGTTAGTTAGACGCGTATAGTAGGCCTACGAAATGTGGTGTTAGTTAGAGGCGTGTAGTAGGCCTAAGAAATGTGGTATTAGTTAGACGCGTATAGTAGGCCTATGGAATAACTAATTAATTAGGGGGATATAGGTTTCAGTCGAAATTAGTCAATTGTGAGTAGGTGAGCTGTTAGTGAGTGATATTGCTTAACAAAAGCTGACTGTTGCATAAAAACGACGTTCACTTACTCATACATTCACTCACTCCACATATAAGAACTCAAGTAGACAGTCCACATCATAGTTTCATCCCGAACAGACAGCCGAGCGAACATTGACCCAGTTACTGCAGCCGCGCTACTGCTCAGATCGACCTTCAAGCATCCAATTTCCTTATAAATCTACTTTTTGCGAAAAGGAAATACAATCTGACGTTAGAAACAAAAAAAACCCTACCTCAGATCATATTTGTATTTACAGCGTTCGGTAGAGGGTCTTGCACATTAGAGACACAACATACACAACCATGCAAAAGTCTTTTACGTTATTTCGCAAAATTTCCGCCGGGGACCACGCAGAATGTTTGTAAAACCTTTGCGTAGCTACGCGGGTACTACGCAGAATGTGTGTAAAACATTTTGCGTTGCTAAGCGGGGACTACGTAGAATGTTTGTAAAACCTTTTCGTACCTACACGGGGACTACGCAGAATATTTGTAAAATTTCTGCGTCGCTTCGCAAACACTCCGCGGAGCTACTACGGAAAATAATTGCCCCTTTTATGGGACCAGTTAGTTTGATGACCCCCGGGCGTCGGACCAAGCGTGGTGTTTGAAGACAAGTTACACATGCACATCCCGTATGGTGACTGTTTTTCATATTCTAATTTCATTCATAAAACCACACCTTAACTCTTTGAAACTTTAAAATAACTTTAAAATATAAGTACAATAAATTGAACGAGAACAAATAAAACATTACGTATAGATTATTCAATTGTTTCTCTTTTATCAGCCGCTATGTTTGTATTGTTTGCATTGTACAAAGAAAGATTTTGTTGGTCATTTTTCCAAATGTAACCTCAGATCTAGAACGTGCTCATTCGAATTAGGAACGAGAATAATTGATTATCATGAATATATATTTTGCAGTTAAAAGTTATACATACACATTGTAAATGTATTCACTCTAAAGTCGTAAACGACCTTCGAACGAGTTGCATGGTCCAGGTTCATTGAAATGAAGTGTAGAACGGGTGTTGGTTTCTTTTTAATTCCTTTCAATCAAAATGTCTCGGAAATTTAATTATGCTTGAAAAATAGTGCTGACTTTATGGGAGACTACAGCATACATGCAGGCTCGTTGGTCAAGCAGGAATATACAGGAAATGATAAGTAACAATTCTTTGTGTACTAATTACATGTTGATGTAAGGTGATGTAAGGATCTTCTACAATTAACAATCCATGTATATACTGTTCTTAAAGAGAATAAACTCTCCGTAAAATATATAACTAGACGAATCAACTATTCATACAGAATAAAAGAAACTGCCATATTTTAGTAATAGTGCTATTTCATGACACTTGAAAATTCTAATCAGCTGATAAATTAAAGAAAGTGACTACACGTACGCAATCCCTATTAGTCAAACCTGAAAATCATAGCTATCGGAGACTCCGATAACTTTGAGTTTGCAAGTGTTATTCATTACGATGTTTACTGCAATTTAAAATACTTTAGTGTTACATTTTTCAGAGGAAAGGCAATACACACACAAGAATATATTGCTTCCGTGTCTGAATGCACGTAATACTTGGCATCCCAGTTCTCAGCGTCATAATGCTTCACACAGGTGGTATATCTGAATTTGTAATGTGTATTTGGAAGCAGGCGTATCATTCGTCACCACTCGCCCCTTTCCGTAACCTGCAAGAAGACTCGTCCCCCTATCCATGAATGTTATGTGCGAAAATACGACAAACCAATCAGAATGCGCGTATGATTTCAAGTTCTTCGTCAAAGAATCCCTCAGAAATAACTTCTGTTTTTACATATGTCTTGCATCTAAAAATATACCCAAGACACAGTTAAATGTGTTCAATCATACTGTATAATTTTGCATGTCCTGATGTGCTTTTAATTGCATCTGAAATATAAATGATATATGGGGAAATATATGTGAACCATTGCGCAACGAGTTAACAATTGTTTTAGGTATGCCCGTTTGCGCTAAGACGGAACCCAGTTGCAAAAATGGCCACGAGAGGGGCACGAGTCGCTATTCGGCTTGTCCCGGAATAACACGAGTTGGTCACGAATGCATACGTATAACATGAAAATCACTTGCTATTCGTCAGTCTACGACAACTCAAAACAGTCAAACAAGCTTGTGTTGTCGATGCAATATCATCTCGATGGGAACCGCTTGTACACAGGCATGTTGTTTAGTACAATCTTTTTTATTAAAATCTATTTCAATTTGTTTCCACCATTTTCTCTGTACTCTTTTATGCATGTTTTATTGCCTAATCTTATTGCTCATGTGAGTGACATATTTCAGTCACATATTTGGGTGTTCCAAATCTCGAGTATCATAAAACACTTTCTCCTTCCTTATCTAACGCTATAACATTTCAGACATAACCACCATCT